TCTTCAGGGAGAAATAAAATACAACTTTTTTTCTTCTTTCCCTTCCCCCTTAATGATGTGTGAACTTCTGTAGGTGTTAAATCTTCATGTCTGCCTTTTATCCTCATCCTACAGAAGAATCTGAACCCTCAGCTTTTTGCAGTGGTTGCTGAGGTTGGAGGGAGACATCACGTGCAAGCTGCAGTTGCCTTTGCAGGTCACCTTTCTGCAGTGCATTGAAATTAATCTGCTGCACTTTGTGGTTCGGTGTTTCAATTACTGCTATCGGTGGCTGGTCTTTGTGCAGAAAGCTTGAAGGGCTGAGGAGCGATAGGCAGCGTTCACTGGTGTGTGTCCTATTAAATAAAAATAGAAACACAGAGCTTGCTTGTGGTATCACTGCCTTTTGAATAAATGTGCATGCAGATTATGGCAAGACTCTTCAGTAATGCTGTGTTCGGTACGTATCACCTTTAAAACATCACGTCCTTAAAATTCATTCTGCTAGGGTGGAGTAGCTCCTCAGTGTTCTGAATACAGTCATAACTTACTCCTGAAGGCAAAACTGAAATGTTGGTATCTCAACAGGAAGATCCTTTACAGCACTGCTACAGAATGGGTGAATTTTAAGCGTCTCCCGGATAATAACTGAAGTCTCTGTGTAACTGTTTGTGTTGTTCCACTCCCAGCCCCGGCAGCAGCAGTAAAACCCGAGTGCATTGTACTGGAGCTATTCTTTACATTCCAGCATCCGTGGGGAGCCAGGAGGAGCAAGGCAAAAAGTTGAATAGCCCCCATGTGCCCTGGCTGGGGAGGAAGGGCTGGAAAACTTAAGAAACCACAAAGCTGATCCTCCCTCCTATAGGCGGAGGGATGGAGTAACCAGGGGCTGATTTTAAGACCAGGCAGGAATGAAATGAAGTTCTTACTACATCAGTGAAGCTCTCCTTAACATCTGTTGGTTCAGAGTGGAAGTTACCATTTTCTTAGCAGTATTGCTTTCTTTTGGGACAGTAGCCAACAGAAAGCTGTTTGGGAAATGGGTGACTAGCAGTCTTAGATTTCCATAGGCCCTTCAACTCTCTTTTAAAACAATGTTTTCTCAGCCTTGAGAGTATGAGATGGAAATATGAAAATGAAGATCAGCTGCTGCAGAGCTCAGAGCAGCTTTTTTTTTAAGCTGGATCTGCAGACTTGTGCTTCTCTTGCACAGCAGCAGCCTGGTGCTGCTTGCTTGCACTACCACTGTTCTCAAAGCCCTCTGGCCAGCAGTGAAATGAGAGTGGAGTGAGGGGCTTGTCATCAGCTCGGGCTGAGCCCCAACAGAAGTAGGCAGTGGAAATATGCATACAAAGTGGCTGCTTAATGGTAAATGATGTGTGTGTGCCTGTGTAAGATATCATGCAGGAGGCAGGGGAGGAGGAGTCCCTTTTCCCAGGGTAAGAAAGGAATGGAGGTTGTGTCTCTGTTACATCTTTTTTTCCTCCTTTCCACTGTAGGCGTTGACTTATGCAGCTCCTTTCTGTGCAAACTTATTTTGCTGCTCTGTGTTGTGCTGATGCAGTTTTTTGGCTACGTGATGACCTGTGTGGGAGAAACGATCTGCTTAGGGGAAGAGTCCTGCCAGCACCTCAGCATGAAGCGAGGGACACAAAAGGGAAGGAACTTGCAGATTTTTGTTCTGTAATGGGAAGTGAGGAGGGTACGTGACAGCTTAAGAACTGCTGTTGCTGAATGAAAGCATGACCTTACTCATCTTTTGGCAATTAAAATAGATATTTCCTGTTTCTCTGAAGTTCTTGAACCTGCCTGCCTATGTCCTCCATCAATGTCATGTCTGAGCACCTTGGAAATGCTATCACCTCAATCTCCACAGTGCTTCAGATAGTCTGAAGCTGATGTGTGGAGTTGAAACCAGGAGCAGGGTTAGTGGTGTAGATGAGAGATACCCTGTAGGGTTTGTTTGAACATAAAATTTGCACAAGATTAAGTGGAGACACAATATTAAATCCACTTAATGAAACACCAGAGCAAGTTAGGATTTGTCCGTATGGTGAATGTGCGCAAGGCTTGCTAGCATGTGGTTGCTAGTCTTGGTCGTGCCCTGTGTGCAGACAAGTTACTGCTTTCTCATTCAGTTAACTGAGAAAAGCCTGCTTTTCACTGAAAAGAGTTAAGGGAAAACTACAGCTTGCTCTACTTGCCCAGACATTTTGCAATATTTAATGAGACGAGGAGACAATTTTTGCCTCAGCTGAAGATCTGGAAGGCTGTGTAGGGCTATCCTTCCCACCCACATCCACTAGTTTTGTAACTGCCTGTGGTGGTTTTAATCCCCAGTTCTCAGAGGAACTTGGTAGTGATCTGCCACGTGGTGCAGCGGCTCTGATGTTGCAGTACCTCTGTAGTCTCCTTTGGTGGTTGTCCTCTTCTTTCTCTGCGCGATTCCCAAGTGTAGATGTTGGCAAAAGGATGCTGAAATGGGTGGGCAAGGATGTATCCTCCAGCTCCACTGCAGAGCTGTTGTAAATGCTGTACGTGTAGGAGGGGAATGGACCACAAAGTGTCTGCTGTGTGCTCTCCCTAAATAGCATCTCCTGCTGCTGGAGGCTGGCAGGTCTGACGTAGCTGTGAATTTCTACTGCTTATGCTGCTCAGCTTGTGCTGTGGAGCACAGGCCAGGTGTGTATGCTGTGTTGTGACCTAGACAGCTGGTTCAGATACTGGCAGTACAAATAACATTTGTACAGTTTCTGAAGTACAGTAAATACAGAAATAACAGTGAATACCGTTTCCGAAGACTGATTTTTTCATGCAAAACGTGTTAAGAAAATACTGTTACTTCATCATCCAAGCCATTCTCTGATTCTGTGATCTTAATTGGAGCAATTTAAGTGGAATAGCTGTTTTCATTCCTTCTGTGTTGAAGACATGCCCTTTATTGTTTTCAACTTGGGACATGGATGTTTTTGTCTTTAAAGGTTTCTGATTTAAATGAAGAATGCTGCTCAGAGCTTCCTTGGAAAGGGCACTGAAGTAAAATAGAACATACATGTTATTCATTGGATTTCACAGGACTTATTTCTTATTACAAATGGTTGGTGTCTGATTATCATTATTATTATTTTTTAAGTTGAATGACTGAACTCAACTAATGCCACTCAGTAAGTGTCTGAAAGCGGCATTTAAAGTGTTTAAATTCAGGCAACAGTGTTGAGGAAATATGGACTTTTCTGCAACGCAATTATGTGACAAGCAGAAATAGTTGAGTTTCTGATGTATTTTTGCAAGCAGACTTTTTGATCTTTAATGGAAGACAAGCTTAGAGGGTTTCTTTGTTCTGCAAAGCTGCTTGGTAACTTCTGCAAAACTTGTGAAGGTCTCAAATATGTGAATTTCTGTGGCACTGAGAGACGTGGCCATGGTGATGATGGGCTGATGGTTGGACTAAATGATCTTGGAGGCCTTTGTCAACCTTAATGATTCTATGATCCTATGATCTCCTGGCAGATTTGTCTGAAATTAGCCAAAGGGGCTCCAAAGCTCTACAAGGAAAGGAAGGATAGGTGCATATGCATGCAGAATATGATTGCATAAATTTCATTTCGTGCTCCAAACGTTTGTGCTATAGCAGCACAAAGTGCCTATTACTGTACTGCATTTCATGCTCTAATGGCCGTGCACGAATAGCAATGTAATGGATCTTGGTGATGCTGGAAGCTGAGCTGGGTTCCGTATGCTTAGAGCAGCAAAGACCTTGATAGATGATGCAGTTGTTCCTGCCTACAGCATACCTTGCTCTGGACATTTCTAGCTGTAAGCTGAAATAAACATCAGACTTCACTGCTGTGGGAATATGCCATGAAGTCAGGTTTGGTTACAGGGGAGCAGATCCGTGCTGCAGGAGGTCCATGGTGCTGCTGTGACTGGCAGGGAGGTGAGCTGTGTGCTGTCATGGGGCTGGCTCACCTGCTGCTCTTATCTTCAGCTAGGAGACTGTATGCATACAGCCCTGGTCAAATCTGATGCTTAGCAAAGATCGGGTAGGGAAGGATCGCTAACATGTTTAAAAATATCACAGCCCTGAGAAAGATCCTGCTTGTTTTGTTGGAGCTTTGAACAGCTGTGGAAACCGAGACTCCTACAGCAGCAATAGATGCTGTTTCACTTCCAGCAGACCAGAACTGGCTGAGAAAGTAACAAGCGAAAGCGATGCCAGGAGCTGATGACTGGCAGTGAGCATGGCGTGTGAAGGTAGGGGGCTGTGGGAAGGACAGGACTGTGTGCCTGTGGCCATCCCACCAAGAGAGCTGGCCTGCGTACATTTTGTGCCCCATGGCTCTCAGCAGCGGTGGTAGGTGTTGAAGCTATGGCAGTAGAAGGACTGTGAGGATGTGAGAGTGTGTGGAAGGATGATACACTCCTCTGGGCTGCTGTGATTTTAGGGGTGAGTGTCCTCTTCAGAAGCAACCGTCCCAAATGCTGATACATAAATACTCATGTTTCTGGAGGAAGAAGGGATCTCTGTGTAGCACTGAGAAAAGCATATAAGCCTTCCCAGCATTCCCTACTGACTGATTAAGGCAGCTTTCCTCTCAGACAGATGGCAACTGAAGATTACTGTCAGAGGTAATTAGCTTTCCTTATGTACAGGCAAGGAAACAAAGGTGCATAAATCAGGGCACAGAAAGCCAGCGCAGGCTGACTGCCCCTAATAGTCAGCACTGCAACATGGGCTGTTGTGTCTCTTTATAGCACCAAGTCACTGTAACTATGACACAGAAACATGTAAATGAACGTGTGAAGTATTCTTTAAGAGCTGAGCTCCTCTGTAACAGCCAACACAGCTGTGCTGTGAACAATTCCAGTTCTGAATTTGCCTTTTTGCCCACATCTTTGCCCTGAGTTCTTATTGTGAATTTGGTTTCAGTGTTGTCTAAGGAAACATGCAATTAGTGGTACTCCTAATGCTGAAGTCAGCTACAGCTACATCAGTGAAAGCTCATGAGTTTTGAAAAACATCCTTTTTTACTTTTTATTATCTTAAAGAGTGAGGAATGCATTGTGATATGAACTGATTTTATTCTGCGATGTAGACTTCTTAGTAACTTTTCCCATTCAGCAAACATCAGTAAGATTTCACGTTCTGCATTACGTGTTCTTTAGAACCCTGTCTTTCAACTATGGTATGAATCTTGTAGCTGTGGAAATGCTCAGGTTAAGTACTGTTTGAGGATTGTATTTGGTGGCTTTTCCTATTTAAGACACATTTAAGAAATGAAACAAAGCACTAAAAGCCCGCAGGCACTCTGCTGCTACCTGTACAACCGTTCTTTGTTAGCTCAAAAACACTTTACACCCACAAAGCACTCTCAGCTATGAAGTTGCTGTCTGAGCTTTTCTTACCATGTGTGGAGTTGTTGGAGATATTTTTGAGCTTTAGTGGCGAGAAAATTAAACTGTAAAGAAAGCTCTTGGAAAAAAAAACCCTAATACTTGCAATATTTGAACTTCTCCAATTGCACAGTGTCTCTTTTGATTTAGTTTTTAGTAGTTAGCAGGGAAGGTGAGTTTTCTGATTAACTTTCATGACCCAGAGGCAACATTAATATATTCATTGCAGTACTGAATTGAGAATACTGGAAATGTCAGGCATTCATGTTATCAAAGAAGCTGCTGAAACTATTGGTGTCCCGAAGCTTGCTTACTTCTGATCTGTTAGGATCACTACCCTGGGAAGCTTGCAAGACCTGCTAGCAGTGTGGGGTAAGTGCTACCACTTGCCACCATTCCCCCACTCTCTCAATTAAATTAGCTTTATGCTTTTCACTGACTTGTTTTGCTACATTCCTGCTTCTACATTCTCGAGCTCTCCATTGGCACATATGTGCCCCAGCAGACGGATGTGCCAGCTCTGCTGTTAGGGGAAGATAGCGTCCCAAAAAGCTAGTTTTTGCTGGTGGGGATGTTCATGGTGTTTGCTGATATTGTTATTTTTAAGCAGCAGAGGCAAGATGAAAAGCAGCATGGTGAAAAACAGTGACTGCGGTTTTCTTGGAGCTGTGACTGCATGTGTGTTTTGTGCATTATTTCAGTGAAGGTGAAACCTCCATTCTGTATGCTCACACCTTTTTGCTTGCCTGTTTATTCCGTGCAAATCTGTATAATGTAATCTCCACAAACTGACTGGTAGATTCAGTTGCGTGATTCCCAGTCGCTTTTGTGAGAGCTGAGATTAAGTCCCTGGCTCCAAATCAACCAGAGCTGGGTGTTTTGGACACTCTAGTATTGTTACAAGACAGGTGTACCTGAATGTGCGTGTATCACACAGGTGGTAAAATTCTCTGATTGTTCCTTCTTTATCTAGATCAGTCGTGGTCTCTGGGGAAAATGTTGTGATCTGATATGGTTTGTGACTGAACCATTTTGAGACCTGCCTAATTTGGCTATTTCCAAAATTGGCTATTTGGTTTTTTTTTTCCTTCTACCTCTCCCCACCTTTTTTATCTGGGTATCCAAAGGACTTGACCTTGAGCCTCTGATTCTGCAGGCACTCCTAAGATAGCACCACTGGCTGTGAATGCAAGTGATGTTGTGGTGAGGTTTGTCTTTGTTAAGTTTTCTGTTTTCTCAAGCTTTGTATAGTATATGTGTGTTTTCTTTAGTATGTTTGCTCACTTAAAAGGATCTGGAGAGGCAAAACTATCATGCTCTATTTCTTCAGGAGGAGCAGCTGTCCTAAGCAACAGAAATCTTTTCAGTTTTGCATGTTGAGGTATAAGGAGAAAAGGACTTGAACTCCAGCCCCCGGAGCATGTTGCGAGACTTGTTTGTATTTGTCTTTCTGGAAGAAGATCTGAAGGAAAAGGAAAAAAATGGTCTGAAAAGGAGCCGTGTTGGCCCTGCAGAGTGTGGGAGGAGCCTGCATGAACTCAGACGTCCCATTCCCTCTGTGTTTTGCTCTATTGGGTACGGATTGACAATTAGAATGTGTAATGTATAAATAGGAGTCCATCTGAAGGCTGGCTAAAGCCTTCGGTATTAAATCCAGGAGAGTATAACAGAGCTGGGGAAATGACAGCCTAACAGTGATGACAGGACAAGGGGGAATGGCTTTAAACTAAAAGAGAAGAAATTTAGATTAGATATTAGGAAGAAACTATTTATTCAGAGAGTGATGATGCTCTGGAACAGTCTGCGCAGAGACACTATGGATGCCTCATCCCTGGATGTGTTCATTAAGCCTGGATGGAGCCCTGGGTGGCCTGATCTGGTGGGTTGGATTGTGGCAGAGGGATTGGAACTGGATCATCTTTAAGGTCCTGTTCAACTCTGGGCCATTCTATGATCATTCCATCAAGACTGTGTTATCTAATGTGTGTTTCATTCTCATTTATCATTTTAATTTTTTATGCAGTTAGAACTGGATTTATAGCGTTTGCTTTGCTTAAAGCTTTGAGAGTTGAGGAAGCAGAGCTATTTCTGCTCAGCTTATATGTGCTTTGGATTTTACATAGGTTATGGGTTAGCTTTTGACAGAACTCAGAGGTTTTTGTGCTGCACTAGAGCTCCATTGCTGCTGGGCATGGAGATAAGTTCTTTTCAGCGTTCAAATGCACAGGAAGAATTTAAAAATGATAAAGAGAAATTTTGGGGTAAGGACTGTAGAGGGGCAGAATAGACAGAGTGTATGAAAATCTGTTTCCAGCTGATGTGGTTTTTATTGCAGAAACTTGTCTTGTTCTCCTAGTCCTCAGGTAGAGGCATAAACGTAGGCAAAGAAACTGAGAAAATGGACTTTATCTTATTCTTGATTGTGACTGTAGGCAAGGTTTAGAAAATATATGAAATATATGATACTTACAAAGCATCATTTAGATGAGAATCCAGGAGTTACTGTTTCTCTTCCTCCCTTCCAAAGCCACTGGTTGGATTTGGATCTCTGTAGGGCTGCCCTGTAACCCCAAGTTAGCGATGTTCATCTGTGCTGCAGGAGATATGTTACTTGTTGGAATGAGCCTTTATGGTGTTGTGATTTTACAGATCTGCAAGAGGAAGAATAACAGCTTTATTTTTGTATTAGGAGGGGCAGACTAGACAGAAGGTTTTCCAGTTAAGGTACTGTTAAACTCAGCACTCCAAAACCAAATTATTGCTACAGGCTTAAAAATGTATTTTTAATTCAAAGTCACTTTGCTAGAATAATCCTATCTGCTCTTCTAATTTAAACTAATGTTTCTGAGGAATTCTGTTTTATAGTAATCTAACATTGAAAGGGAGCTTTGGAAATTGAGAAACTTCTTTTTGAAAGTGTGTAAGGGAAGACACTGGACTTACTCAGCCACAGCAGTACCTTTAAGACTACTGCAGTGCTATTTTATTGTCTGTTGTGGTATTTCCTGGAAAATAAGGGAAATAACGAACTATGCTGCATGTGCTAAAGGCAAGAGCTGGATGAGTTAATGGTGACTGGTTATAGATGTAGCAGTAGAAATATATAGATGTGTTATAATATGCCCACATTTTGGCAACTTAACCTGAGAAAAATGATCATATGAGAGTGGTATCTTGTTTGTCATTCTGCTATGGGGCTATTTCATCACCTGTAAGTGCAGACCAAAAGGAAACAGTATTGCAAGGCCGGCAATCACAAGTACTTCTTTCTTTTTCTTTTTCCCCCCCACTGTCCCTTTAAATTACAAGATTCACTCCATGCACGTTTTGAAGCTTGCTGCCCTTCCTCCCCCACAGCTACAAGGGTAGGAATGTGAGGCCTGAGAGAACTTTTTTTATGCTGTCAGTTAATTGCAGCAGCAAGAAGTTAAACTATCACAAGACTGGGTATGGAGCAAAGACTGTTTTAAGATGAGTAGTACTCAATTCAGTAGCAACCATTTTTTAGTTAAATATTTATTAATGGTTTACTTTACTAATCCTCTAGGGTCCTTAGTAAAATAACAAGGATGGATGGCAAAGCTTCCAGCATTATATTGCTGCTGGTTTAGTATTAAGCATGAAAACAAAAAGAAGGCTTTATAGGAGTTATGAAGGAAGGGGATCATAATGTTGATCCTGTGGTTGTCTGATCAATCAGCTGTAAAAAACAAAAACAAACCACCCTCTGTTAACAAGGGTGGATAGTGATAGGAAATGGGGGGAATGGTTTTAAACTGAGACAAGGGAGGTTTAGGTTAGATATTAGAAGGAAGTTTTTCACGCAGAGGTGGTGACGCACTGAACAGGTTGCCCAAGGAGGTTCTGGATGCCCCATCCCTGGAGGCATTCAAGGCCAGGCTGGATGTGGCTCTGGGCAGCCTGGGCTGCTGGTTGGCGACCCTGCATATAGAAGGGGGTTGAAACCAGATGATCATTGTGGTCCTTTTCAACCCAGGCCATTCTATGACTCTGTGATTCTGTAGCTGCCTGCATGATTGTTCTTACCCTACAGTACAGCTCCATTAACTGCATGTGTAACTGTACTATGAAATAGGCTATGAAATACTGGCTCCTATCAGACACAGCACTTACTGAAGTAGCAGATTAAATAGTAGTGTAAATAAGGATGCACTTCTGGCAAGGATGCTAGTTCCCTGCTTCCACCAAGGGGAACAAAAAGGTGCCTTCTTATAGAGCTTACGTATCACATATCCAGTGCACCCCATGGTGGTTTGGTGGGGAGCTGGAGAAAGCACCCTCCTGTCCCAAAGAGGTGTCGGCTGATCTTGGAAATCTTGTAATTCCATAGCTGTTGGTCATGCCTAATTCTGTTAATGCCATTCTACTTGGCCAGGGTGGGAAGTTGAGCAGAAGTTAGTTTAGATTCCTGTTAAAAAGCGATCATTATTCTTTTTTTATGCATCCAGTCGCTTGCTTTCAGAAAAGTAGCAGTGTGCATGTTGGGTGCTTGCTGATATGCTGGCTTCCACACGTCTTTCATCATGTGCTATTGGAGGCTTTTTAGTAAGAAGAGAGAACTGAATAGTAGAGTTCCAGACTTGCCCTTCTTGCTTTACTTAACCTTGGTCAACCTTGACTTAAAGACACCATGAGCTCTGTCAGTTAAATAGATGAACTTAAATCTAGATGCCTAGTCTTGTAATGAGCAAGCTGGAACAAGACTGCATTTTACAACCAAAGCACATCTTTCCAATTCCATATTTTCTAGCATCTCTCACTATAGGAATTTTCTAGAGCAATATTTGTGTCACGGAAGTTTGTTTTTGCTTCACTAACTTTCTCTAACAGTCATCTATTTTTAAAAGGGGAAGGGAAAACACTGTCACCATTTAAAAATAAACTCATAATTTCTTCAGCAAATAAGGCGGTATTCCTATTTACTAAACCAGGTTAAGAAAGTCTTCACTTAAAAAAGGATTTCCTTGATTACAGAGCTGTCTCCTCAAAGCCCTGAGTGAAGCCAGGCATGGGGGGATGGGATGGTGAGGAGGCACTTACGTAATTAAAGACCATTCTGTGTTCCTAAGAGCTGAGTTAGAAACACCCCGAATGTATGCTTACAGTTGTGTGCATGTGCCAGAATGAATGTCCTACATAAGGTGCTGAAAGTTGTTACTGATTCCTTATAATCTTGTTTGAAGAAGCATGATGACTTATTTTCAATAATGCTTTGCAGGCTCTGTCAGTATCTTTGTAAATACTTTAGAGGAGAATTATTTTTTTCCTTTCTGTGAATGGTACTGTTATGAACAGTATTTTTGATGCTAAGTGCTCCTTTACTGGGTAGCTTTGCCTTATCTCTGTTACATGCAGCTTCATCTGACCTGTCAGCAAGGTTCTCTGTCAATGGAGCTTTATCAATTTACACTGAAGTTGGTGAAATCAGTAATACAATCAGTTGAATTGATTGAATTAGGGGGTAAAATGTAAACTGTTGATTTCTACCTTAGTGGTATATTTTAGCAATTATTTGCAGAGTAGGGGGATGCAAGAATGCCAACAATTTCATGGAGAAAAGAAAACAAAATAACAAAATTGAACAGTATATTTTCCAAGTGAATGAGTCACTTCGTGCAGCTAATAAGACTTGACTAAAAAAGGTTGAAATGGTAATAGCTGCCTCCTGTGGTATTCCATCTAGAAGAGAGCAGGACAGACTTGGAAGTATACTTGAGATCGACAGATTATAGCTTGCTCATTGAATGACTTTGTTACTGGTGGATGCAAGGTCATAAAACTTTGTCCCTGACCCTACAGTTCAATCTCTGCAAAGAATGTAGAAATAAAAAGAAATAATAAGGAAGTTATTGGTTTTCTGCACTCAGTGTGACAAATGGGTCACTGATAGGTATTTCTTCAGGGTGGAATCTGTGAGTAGCAGTAGTTTGCTTTTTAAACATACTGCTTATGGATCGCTTCAGTTGTTCATACCTCAGCTTTTGTTGTCTTCATGCTCTGAAGTGCAAGCTTAAAATAACAGCAGCTCTAAATATTCCATGAAGGAATAGGGAATGAAAAAAAAAAAAAAAAAAAAGAAAAAAAAGAAAAGCCCCTGAAATCCACATCAGAAAGCTAAAGGGTTTGTTTTGGAAAGCACAGCACTACGGTTGTTTGGATATGGCTTGCTTCTGTGGGAGACCTATTTGTTACCTTCACTTTAAAATACATTAAATGTGCAAGTAGGTGTTTATGCATTGTGCGCACTGAACCTGTTTTCCCTTTCTGTGATGGGGGGAGTGGTCAAAATAATAGAAGAATATAGCTCTCAAGTAAATTTCCACAGTAGTTTGTGGCCAGAATGTCTATTTTGGACTTTGAAGAGGGGTAAGCAACAACGATTCATTCATAGCTCCTGAAAGGGCAGCTCCGTCTGTTAAGATGTGGGCAATGCAGAACTTTTCCCCTGCGTGTCTGTAGGAGCACAAGCTTCTGGTATTTCTACTTTATCTTCTGGATTTACTAATCTGTGCAATGAGGTGAAAACTTGACTTGAAAACCAAGCATTTTCTCTGCTGTTTCTCCCAAACTTACCAGTTCCTAAATACTTTCCACTGATTGGGCCCTAACTTCTCTCTCTTGCTGTACTATGCATAAATGTAGCATTCTTCTTTTATTAGGCAGTGAAGCCTGGCCTGTGTCAGGAACTGGAGAACGAGCAGGGTACGAGGGTGTGAGCAGGCAGCTTCAGTGCAGCTTTAAATGGCCAAAACTGGACTTTAAGGATATTCAGTAGTCCTTTAGAAGCCAGCAGCAGTTTGTGGCAGATTCATCAGTGTCAGCCTATCTGCATCCTGCAGAGTGTGCATGCGGGTTTGACTGTGTAATTATGAAAAAGACAGTGGGAGGGGTAAGAAGGAAGAGAAGAACAGGTAGCTGCAAAGGCTATCTTCTGTCTTGTGAGGCTGATTTCTTTGGGATGCCGGTGGGCAAAGTGGAGCTCTGGCTCTGACATACCTCTGGAAGAACCTGTCTTTCTGCACAGTCTTTAAAGTGAACCTAAAGTGAGCCTTTCTCAGTATTTGCGTCACTGTGCAGAGTAAGCTTGTGTGTTAGATGCAGAGCAGCATTCAACTCCTGTCACTGGGACTCAGTTTGAGAAATCAAATTCTCAGTTTGAGAAACTGTCGAATTTGTGGTGATGGAGACTGGCTGTAATAATAGTGGTTTCCTTCCATAGGTTGCAAGATGTTGCATGAAAGTTCATTTTGATATTGTAACTTGGATTTAAATTTCTTGTTTTCTTATTTCAGGTCTACCAGTCATGAAACGAATTCTTCTGTTTTTCATCCTGGCTGCTGCAGTCATGTATGGTATATTGCATGGAAATCTGTGGAGAAATAACTTCTACTGGTATGGTGACACTTTTTTTTGCTTATAGTGCAAATACCCTCATGGCTGTCTGAGATATGTGACTGTTAGTAATATGTTGCTGAACAGTTGTCTATGAGTAATAGATAGAAAGTATGATTAGTGTGGGCGTATGTGTGTTTCTGTTTTTCTTCTGTTATGTTGTCTTTGTTTTTGGTTTTACTTTTTTGTGGGTAGAGTGAGGGAATGACTGTGATTGCTCTGTCCTGCCACCCTTCCTCTCATATCATTTTTAAGCTTAGCAGACGACGTACAGCTAGATTTATGGAGAGTTAAAGTCCTCAAAGATAGGAAGCCACTCCGAGTTCCATGAAAATAGGTGCTCCTGTGATGAGAAAGGTCTCATCTATGTGCCATTTGTCTGCGCTGTGTCCGCTCCTGCCTTGCATGTTTAGCGTTGGCTTGCTACCATAGATAAATGACATGGGAGTGACCTGCCCCACACATGAGAATGAGTATCTGCATGCAGAACGACCACCTTCTTGCAAAACTGAAGCTTACAAAGTCCCATAGACAAAATTCTGGAAGGTGAGCCCTTGCTGTCTCCAGGGCACACATGACAGGTGGCCTGGGACCTAAACTTATTGCAGAAGCTGAGTTTCCGTTGGAGTTTGCACTGGTGTGACCAGAGCTCTGCTTGTGTTATGAAGACTATCGTGATAGCCAAACATTACTGTTAAAAGCTTACTTGTGTTTATCTCAGTTACAGCATACATTTGATATGAATGGCTCTCTGTTGTGGTTTCTGTATATAGCAAACCTCAGTGTTAAACCATTTCCCCTTTTGCAGGATTAGCTTTTATGGACAGACTTCTTCTGTGAGGGGTCCTTCTTCCAATGAGGCTAGTGGAGTTACCCAGTAAGTTCAGCAGCTGAGTGTTCTTTGTGTGTGGTCCTGTTTTTGTGGTATTTTTTTCTTCTTTTTTTTTCCCCTGTCTGTTTTTTGGGTAAGTGGGAGGGAGTGAGTCTAAAATCCATAGCCTCGGTTCAATTGATCTTTGTATAACTGTGCCCATGGAGTATTATGAACATAATTGTAGCATGACTGGCAGAAAGGATCCTAGAATTGTTTTGAGTAGGAAGGCACCTTCATTGGTCATCTAGTCCAACTCCTCTGCAATGTGCAGAGACTTTACAGCTAGGTCAGGTTGCTCAAAGGAATTTGCTCATATTTCCAGTGTTTGTTTAATATTTATGGCCACTTAACTGTGGCTATCTGTAGAAAGCAGAAAATTGTTGAAAGGATGTTTGTTTACAGCTTCCAAACTTGAGCAATGCAGAGTTAAATATGAGTTAAAATTACAGATGAGAGCAATATATGTGTTTAATTTTAGGAAGCAATCAGAGGTGGAGTTCATTTGTATGATATGGAAGTGCTTGTATAAACAAATCCTGTGCTGGTAAATTCCTGCAATTAGGTTTATGAGTCGAATGACAGCCTGTGCTAAAACTTGAAAGAAGGTCTCCGTTACCTCTGAAGCTATCTTGCAAAATGCTGTCTGTGAGGCTGGTGCTGGAAAGCAATGAGCTGACCAGCTGATCCATTTCACAGGATGCTTTCTCGGTGTCAGTATTCATGTGACAACTTGAGGTTACTGAAAGCAATTAACCTTAATGGTCTGTATGACTTGTGTCTCTAATGTGGTGTTTTCATCCTTCCGTTCCTAATGCAACCCAGACGCAGGCTTTGCTCTCACTGAACTTTACCCTCCCTTCTGAGCTTCGTGTTCTTGAAGAAGCAAAAGCGCTGAGCTGGGAACATGTCTAGAAATATAAGTCTTGGCTTTCTAGCCTCATTATGAGGGAATGACTTATATTCATGTAATTTAATTTTCCTTGAAGCACCCTACATGGTTCCCCTCTCCTCTGAGGTTCCGACTCTCTGAGGATAGCTGGTGCAGCTATCTTGTAGGCTGCAGGGGTGATTCAACTGAGGTGTGCTGCTTCTCTCCAGGTAGTTCTGAGATCCTGAGAACCTCTGATTATGGCTACTTTAGGTGCTACCTGTCAAAGGAGGCTGTGGGCCCCTTGGGCAGCACTGTGCAATAAAAGCCTTACTAGTGACAATAATCATATCACAATCAGGAGGATCCATCTTTGTGATACCAGCAAAGGCCAAGCTTTCCCATTTGCACAGTGTTAACTGGGTAATCAGCTTGCTAGTTTTGGTTGTCCAAGCTTCACTACCTTGTTGTCACTATCTATTACTCTTTTTGTTATGTCTTTGAAAATCCTCTCTTGTAGGCTGCCACCTACGGCTGTGGAGAGAAGGAACGCACTGGACACTTGTCTTCTGAAACCAGCATTTGAATCCTTACTGGAGTGAGTACTCTGTGAGAAGGAGTGGAGAGATGGAAAGGTGGTACTGACTTAGGTAGAAATATTTGTAATTTACGTGTTCTGGACTGTTTCACATTTTGATTTTTGTAAGTACATCCTTGAGTTTGTATTCATTTATTTTGTTTTCTTTTTGGGCTGTGCCACATTGTCGTCGTTCAACATCAGAGTGATACAGCACAAATAACTCAATTTGCTCCTGTATATACTGCTTAAATAAATACCATTTCATGTATTGCAGCTAGTAACAGTGAAACTACTTCCTTGATCAAAAGACAAGCCCTTATTTTTTCTTCCCTGCTCATGTTTTTCTCATAGAAGAAACCTTTGCATCCAAGATTAAGACTCAGCTATTTTGCTGTTAAGAGCCTTGAATTAAAATTAAGGGGTTTTTTTTGATAGCTAAGCACTTCTTTAGCAATCAGGAGCCAGACAAGTTTTGAAAGTCTCTTCTTTTTTTTTTTTCCCCCCCAAAGAGAAGAGTATGAAATGTGCAAAAAATTCATTCAGTCTTTAATGAAACAGGATTTCCCCCCCCCCCCCCCAAACTTTTAGTGGATTTTTAATTTTAGTGGAATTCAATTTTCATGAAGCTTGGAGTAGTCCGCAGCTTTGTTCCTCTGATGGGTGCTGCTGAATTGCATGTAGCTGTCCTTTGCTTTAAGATAACAGAAGAAACTTCCCTTGAGTAAGAAGCATTCAACTGAAAAGTAGAGCTTCTACCCAAAACAATGGAGATGTCTGATCTCAGAAGTGCATCCAACGTGTCTGTGAGGAAATGCTGGTAGTTTTTGTTATTAGAAGTGTGTCTTAAAGATCTAAGAAGCGCTGCAGGAGCAGAAGCAGACAAGGCATATTGTTGGCTTTGACTTTGTGTTTTATCTGAGCAAGCATTGAGTGTGGCCCGAGAAAAGCTTGGGAAGATGTTTAGATCAAGTTTTGGCCAAAGGGCTCTTAAAATATGCCTTTTTTTTTTTTTTTTCCTTTTTGTGTACAAGAAAATAGTACTTTAATAGCACTGAATCAAAGAACATTCAAGGATCATGAGCTTTCTCCTTCTCAAAGCTTGTTATCCCTTAGTCTGTGGGTCTTGCTTAGCTGCTTGGCTCAGAGACTGACTGAGGTTCCTTGCCTACTGCGTTCCCAGGCTGTCCTGGTGACAGGCACAACAGGGTAGATCAGCTCCTGATCAGAGAGGCAGGGAAGGACTTGGAAATGCATACTTCACTTCTGGAGGGAGGTTCAGAGTGAGAACTGAGTATCTTCGATATTTCCATAGCTCCTTTACAGCAATAGCTTCTGTGAGCTGAAGATCTGGTCTGTGCACTTTGTAGTAGCCTGAGGGTGTTCAGGGGATGTCTAACCTGGTTAAATTGTTGGAAAAGAACCAGCGCTAGAAGAGCTAGAATTAAGAATCCCTTTGCAGTAGGTAAATTATTCATTATGGCTAAACTTCCCAGCTGCTTTTGAACAGCAAGGCAAGTTACTAATTTAGTATGGGCATTTGGTGCATAATGTCTCAAAATTAGCTGATCTGCTTGGTTAACCTATAGCCCAGTTTTTGGTATGTGTAGTTTTTATTGTTTTTATTCTTGCATACCTTCTGAATATGTGGAACTTAAAGAATGAAACACTTGATTTATGAGACTGTTAGAGGAAGGTGTGTGTATACAACTGTTAATATTCTTAATGGAGTAGCAAGTCATGTGCTGCTTGTGGCAGCACTCCATTTTTCTCCCTGTAGCTGCATACTTGTGTTTATATTTTAATACATTTTTAAGACCTAGTATGCAGGATCATTGAAAAGTCAGCTGGTTTGATGAGCAGAAGTTGACTTAACTATGAGGTGAATCTGAGGGCATGGTAGCATGCGGCAGGACTTGGATTGATTTACTCATTTGTCTCAATATTAAGCAGATAGAATAATAGAGTCTCTTCCCTGCTGTAAAACAACCCTTGGCTGTGGCTATTGCCTTTTGAAGAAGTGACCTTTTCTTGATCTTGCATGCATCTTGATGCCTTCCTGTTCCAGTTTGCAGGAGCAATGTATTTTTTGAGGGAAATCTTGTGATTCCCATGCACTGTGCTTCCCATTGCAGAGCAATTGTGGCACGCATGCAATAGTCTCCTTTCAGACAGTGCTATGTCACAAGGTGTGCTGCAGGAACGTACCCTTTGTAGGTGGGACTCTCCTAATGTTAATCCAAACCAAAATGGAAACTTCATACCTTTTTGCTGTGTGGGTCTACTCCTGTTGCCCCCAACTACTTAATAATGTCAATGCAGCCATAAAGTGACCTTTATTTGAAACTGGTGCACTTCTCCTCAAGAAACTGTGTATTTGAGTGTGTATTTGAGATAATATTTTCAAGTTAAAATATGGAAACTGCTCTAAAAGTAATGCCTCCTATTTTGTTATGTTGGCCCACACTGTCAGAGGCAGATGATGGCAGTACCTTCCCACCAATATTCCCTTACATGTTGTTGTCGTGTGACAGATCGCTGCAGAGGGGCAGTCTGATAGAATGTTATCTGACATGGGAGTGCAGATGAAGCAAAGGTGTGGAATTGAATTCCTCTATCTGGGAAAAATGTCTCCCGTTGGCCTTCACTGACACTTGATGAACGTTTCTGGAGACCAAACAGTGGATTGCCACTGAGCACAGCAAGGCAGTGGATGGTGCATTTCAGCACTGGTGACAGCAGCAGTGGTCACCTCCACAAGTAGAGATTTCGCCTGCAGCATGCAGGCTCGTGTTCATCACTGTTGAAAATGTGTAGCTAATGGTGTTGACTGCTGAAAAATACTGTTCTATTGCTGAGAACTGTTTCTATCAAATATTGTTATTGTGCTCCTTGTATCTGTTGTAATTTCCATGGAAATTATTAGGAGGCATTACTTTTGGAGTGACCTGCCTCAAGTCCTGTCCTTTCTTATTTTAAACATTGTATATAATAATAATTTTTATGTTTTTCTTGCTGTCCGTATTGCTTTTCTTCCTCAGCATTATTATTTACTTTTTACCCCAGAAGTAACTAATTGTTTTACTGGGTTACAGTTTCTGTCAGATGTGCTGTTTCATGGTGTGAGCTCTTTCACTGCACAGAATTTTAATGAATTTAAGTAATTTATACTAGCAGAGACGGCCTTTTATCTCACTCCCTAGAGAATTTTTCATCATAAAATCTTCCCCTTTTCTGTCACCTGTTTTATTTCCCTGTGATCGTGAGTTTTTGTTTAAAACTTGATGATACCTGTTTCAAGTAGGGGAAGAAAATATTTTTAAAAGCAACTACAGGCATTGTTAGCTTATTCAAATACATCATGTGGCATTCTGAAACTTCCTGTGTTTTATTTTCTCTTCACTAGTGTTGACAAAATATACCCGTTCCTGTGTGCCAATGATTTTATCAGAGTAGCAGAGTTCCATGGAAGTGATAAGTTCGAGCTACCTTATGGAATAAAGAGAGCAGGTTTGTGTTCCTTGTGTAGCTGGGTTTTTTGTTTTTGTTTTTTAATGGAAACACCTACGTGTCAGGTAAGGCCATCTCAGTCTCCGGGCCTGGTGTTTCCTTCTCACTGATGTTAGTGCTTTTGGGACACCTATGTCACCTAATGTTTTTGCTTCATTTCTCTGACTTCACACCTTCTGTCTCTTAACGAATGAAGTGCTGCAGGGAAGAGAATTCTCCCTCTTGTGAGAGAAGCTTCAGAAAGGTGGGAGTGAGGGAGGGTGGAGTTTATTCAACTTCCTTTCCTTGGAAGGTGGGCTGAAATGCTGAAGATAATTAGCTAATGCTTTGTTAGGGAAAACTTCAGCTGAGTGAGAGTGAAGGTTCAATCAGAAAACCAAAGCTGAACACCAGAGTCCAATTGAGGTAGATGCTCTCCCACTTGAGGCAGCTAGGGCAGATACATCAGCTATGTTTCCCTTTTACAGGACTTCTCCCACTGAGGGGTGTCACTGGGACTGCAGAGGGTAGTTCCACCATTTGTGTGGCTGCTGCACCCATGCAGCATTTGCCTGCTTACATCTGTGTTGGTTGAGATAGAGTAGATGGGGTTGGAGAACCCAGGTATTAGGTATCCTTTTGGAAAGGGCTGTAAATCTTGAGTAGCCTCAGAGTTTAACATTGATCAGTGCACTCAAATTTGCACCCATGCAAATTTGGGCATAAGCCTATTGCTTTGCCCTCTATCAGTGTAACAAGAATAGTGCATTTTCTTGCTCCTCTGGAATAGTGATATGGAAAAATACATTTGAGATTGAGAGTTGTTCAAACTCTGTCAGTGAGAAGCACATGAGTGTCCAGCAGGCATGTGCTATGGGGTTGGGCTGGAGAGGTGCTTCTGCCCGTATTTCTTAGTGAGCACAGACTGGTTGGATATCTTCTCCCAAAATGTGTACTACAGTTTCTGTCCTTAGCTGAGTGCTCAAGGCTGCATCTGCTTCAGCTGAAGGTGGGAGGAATAAAAAAAACATCATGAAATCTCTTACTTACTCGTAACTAGAATGGTTTTGAGTGCAAATCCTACGCTGTCTTCCAGCAGTGGAATGTGGAGTCAGGAAAAGCTTCCAAGAGAGCAGCTCTGATAAACTTGAATTTTTGAAGAGGTTTTGAGTTCTTTTGAATAGTGCATAAAAAAAGTGAATGAAAAGGCTGTAGTCATGTTGACATACTTACTTTTTTACTGCAAAGCACTGAGTATTTTAAAATTTTCTCTGTATTTGCTTTCTAGAACAATTTTTTCGTTTAGCCCTTTCGAAACTGCAAAATTGTGGACTGTCCAACGAAGACGGCAGGTGAGATGTTCTTTTTCTACTGGTTTTGTTCCTTGCGTTTTCAATATTTGGTATTTATCTGAAAAATGTCAGTGATGTTATCCTGAATTTATTTGAGTTCAGTACAATGCGAATCTAACCAGATTGTCCAACCTGTACGTAACTGATTCCAAAGTTTAAATAAGTTCAGTTTTAAACAATTACAGTACCAACATTCAAAAACAATATTTTCAATGAGGGAGCTTAAAATTCTGGATTTTTTTTCCTAAGTGCTTTAGGATTTTGCTATCTGAACCCAGTTTGAACTTTTTCTAGTCCTTCTATACTCAAGAAAAGTGAAACTTGCACCCTTAAAAATTGTATACGATCTCTTTTGAAGTCATTACTGGTGTAAGTAGATTACTTATACTATCTTTGCATAACTTAAATGTTTTCAGAAGACTGGAGATTGACTGTTTCTAAACAAGAAATCTTACCCAAATCCCCATGTTACTGCATCTGCTGTCCTGGTGCAAACACTCATATGTATGTTCAGCTTCCTTTTCCCATAAATGACTTTGTTGTATTTCCAAAGGAGTCTTATGCAGCCAGGAAAGATCTTTCCTGGCAGTTTGGGAGTAACCAGAATTTGGCACAGAGTGGAGCATGCCCTTGATAACTCATTTTCCATTTGTTAGATTGTCTTATTTGAGTCTTGGATAGAAGCCACTTCTTTTTTTTTTTTTTTTTTTTTTTTTTTTTAAGGTTGTCTTTTTTGTGTATATGTATGTTTTCTCTTGCTAGCTTTTTTTTTTTTTTTTTTTGAGGTAGGGTGATAGGATTGGCAAGTCTACTAAAATCATATGTTTACCAAGTGACGCAAATGATTTCTTAGACATGCAGTCAAGCAAATCATAGAATGACCTGGGTTGGAAGGGACCTTAAAGATCATTTATTTCCAGCCCCTCCCTGCTGTGGACAGAGTTGCTAGCCATTGGGCTGACCAGAAACCCATACAGTTTGACCTTCAACACCTCCAGGGAGGGGGCATCTGCAACTTCTGTGGGTAGTCTGTTCCAGTGCCATACCATTCCCTAAATGAAACATTTTCCACTATCATCTAATACAAATTTCTCCTGTTTTAGTTTAAAACTGTTCCCCCTTGTCCTATCACTATGAAACCATGTAAAAAATCAGTCTCCCTCCTTCTTACAAGCTCCTTTTAGATACTGGAATGCCACAATGAGGTCTCCCTGTAGCCGTCACCAAGCTAAACAAGTTCAGCTCCCTCAGCTTGTCCTAGTAAGACAGGTGCTCCAGCACTCTGATCATCTTTGTGGCCCCACTCTTGACCTGTTCCAACATCTCCACATTTTCCTGTGCTGGGGACTCCAGGCCTGGACACTGTACTCAATACAGGGCCTTGAGAGAGTAGAGCAGAAGGAGACAATCACTTCTGTCTTCATGCTGTCCACCTCTCTTTTGATGCAGCCCAAGATACTCTTTGACTTCTTCTGGGCTGCAAGTGTGTGCTGCTGGCTCAGGTCCAGTTTTTCATTCACCAGGACCCCAAGTCCTTCTCTTAGGACTGCTCTCAATACATTCTTCTCCATCTGTATACATAGCAGCTGGTGGGATTGCCCCAGCCCATGTGCAACATCTTGCGCTTGGCCTCTTTCAATCTCATTAGACTCACATGGACCCACGTTTCAAGTTTGACCAGGTCCATTTGGATGGCATCCTTTACTTCAGTTGGATCAACTGCACCACTCAGCTTGGTGTTGTTCACAGTCTTGCTGAGAGTGTGCTTCATCCCACTGTGTCACTGATAAAGATATTAAGGAGTACTGGTCCCTTGGGGGACACCACTCATCACTGGTTTCCACCTGACATAGAGTTGCGGACCACAACCCTCTTGCTAAGACCATCCAACCAATTCTTTATCTATTGACAAGTCCAAATCTATATCTCTCCAGTTTAGGGATGTAGTGTGAGACCATGTCAAGGGTCTTGCAGAAGTCTGGTTTCATGACATCAATTGTCCTTCTCTGATCCACTGATGCTGTCACTCTATCATAGAAGGTCAGCACATGGGGCAGACAGTCTCCCCTTGGTGAAACTGTGCTGGCTGTCTTGGATCACCTCATCTCCTACGTGCCATAACACAGCTTCAAGGAAGATCTGCTCCATGATCTTCCCAGGCACAGACTTGAAGCTCACCAGCCTGTAGTTGGTGAGTTTTCTCTTGAGAAAACTTGAGTTTTCTTTTTTCCCTTTTTTAAAAATGAGTGATGTTTCCATTTTTACAGTCACCAGGAGCTTCACCTGACAGCCATGACTGTTAAAGTATGACGGGGGGTTGCCTGGCAACTGCATTAGTCAGTTCCTTTCGGACCCTGGGATTGCACGTCCTTGGCCCCGTAGGCTTGTATGCATTCAGTCTCATGATGTGGTCTTGGCCTTGCGCTCCTCTTATAAAGAAAGGGACTCTGTTCCCTCCAGCCACCACCCAAAGATTCAAGGATGTGAGAAGCATGACTGCCTGACTGACAGCAAATGCATTGGGTCTCAGACTTCTCCATGTCTGTTGTAGTCAGTTTTCCCTTCTCATTTATGGGAGAAGTGGGGGAGAGAAACCTGAGAAACTGCCTTATACTGGGATAACATGCAGAATACTTAATATGGTTGGTTGCAAATAGTGCTGAAATTGGTTGTACTTGGTTTTGACTGTGCTTTTTTTTTTTTTTTAATCAAGAAGATCAAACAGAAGATTGTTGCTTCAAATCAAATGACCAGTTTAATTTAATTAAACCTAATTGCAATATGAAAAGTAATTGGTGTTCAAACCCAAAGGTTATCATGTTTTTAATACTCATTTGTCATTTTTTTTCACCTACTGTACTCATTTCTTCCTCTGTGTTAAGAATCAAATTCTAGGATGTTTGGATTTACTTTCAAGTTCAGAAGAGTGGGGCAAAAACAACCTACAAAAACATTAACTCAACACCTGTGCTTTAACATGAGTAGGATAATTGGGTAAACCTGCATAGAGGGGACTGAGAGAGGCTAGTCTTCAATGACAGTGCCAAAGGTTGTATTAGAAATCTACTGAAATCACAAGTTGAGCACTAATAATTTGGGCTGTAACAAACCTTGTAGTACAGCATGACGTCTCTTAAATTGTGCCGTCTGCCCTGTGATACTTTGAATGTAGGTTCTTCATTTGAAACTGAGGTATATTTCGAATTTCTGGGAAGTGTGATTCATTTTATTAATAGTAATATACCTGAGTTGGTACTGAAGCAAAACTGCAGTGGTGTAGATGTATTGAGTGTTCAACGACAACATTCAGTGTGTTTGTTCTTAATCATTTCTTGTGTGCAGCACTGATATAGCATGAATTACTTGGGGGGAAAAGAAGTATACATTTATCCAATATACAGTGGCTTTTGAAAAGGAAAAACTTTGGGAATTGTTCCTAACCATGTTGTCCAGCAATAGAATTATTAGGCAGTTCTGTATTGCTGTCATTTGACAGCATAGCAACCAAATTTTTCTGTAAACTTTTTTTGGGATGGGGAACCTACTGTAATGTATTTTAACAGATATTGGGCTAATATGAACATCAGATGTTGTACATCAGTACAGCTCGTGTACATACATAGTGAAGCCACACAGTTTGCTACAAAAGGATTTTTCTTCTGAACAGTGCAGTTTTTAAATCTTAGTTCAAAATCTTGCTTTAAAGGTCTAGCTTTGCGAAGCTGTTCAGAAAGTAAGAGTGTCGTTGTCTTCAGCCTGCCAGAGAAGGGTTTTCCATGCTCACAGTATATCCACAGAACACCTTCCAAACATGTGCTCCACCCATTTTTTCGCAAGTACTCCATGATCACTCTTCAAGGTTATCAGCAGTAAATTCTTACAAATACACTTACACAATACTGAGTCAACAAGCTGTGACCTCCGCATCCTCCTTTTTCCAAACAACCTCCAAGGAAATGATTTGCATTCCTCAATAGGCCAGTGGGGGTGTATGCTAAAGCAGCTGAGGTCAAAATATTTCTTGTTGTCATCCTTTTTTTTTTCTTTCCAGAAAAACAGGAAAGCTGAGGATGGAATCTTTATTTGCACTTTAAAGGCTTCGTTGCCACTGAACAGTACTTTTCTTCTATGGGGCTAGGAAAATGTTTCTTCACCTTGTAAACAAAATACGCAAATTCATGCCTGACCTTTAAGTGAAGAGGCTCACACAGTGTGAATAGAGGGGCTTGAGTGATTGTTTTAGGCATTAATGTTTTGGTGTTAGGGATCAGTTACTGTGCCATTTGTATCGGGATCTGTGCATACACCACGTAGATATCCAACGCCTACGTGTAATCCCTTAGTCAACCAAGCCATTGCTATACTTGAGATGTTAATCCTTTTCCTTCTCTTAAGTATTTGTTCTTGTGTTTGTAATCTGGATCGCTAGATATCTCAGTTCATTTTACTTCTTGTATAGCAAGTCAGATGTCATCTAAGGACTTTGAAGTTTACTTCTTATTGATTTGTGAATATGGGGAAAAGAGGAGCATTATTTTCTTTTTCTTAAAATGAAAACATGCAAAACTTTAGGAAATGAGAAGGGTAAAATATCTGGGAGTAACACTTTGCTGAAAATCAGTACTTCACTTCTGTAATCTGCAATAACTAGAAGCCAGATTACGTCAAGTATCTTTGAATACAGTCCAGGCTTGCTATGTACTTTTTACCTCTGTTTCATAACAGGTTTCCTATACAGTTTTGTTCTGTTTTCATTGCTCTTAACATTTACACGTGTGCATCAAGTGCATCTGGTCTGTAGAGTAAGCCATTCAGTTACTTGCTTATCGGTGAACTCTGCTGCTGTGTGTGTAGGCCTATCATAGGAACTGGAGACACTCAAGTACTTAGAGGAGGCAGCTAAAAGGAGCAGATAATTCAGAAATATATGTTCTTGCCAAACTTCCTGTTTTGAGTTGGCTGCCTTTAACTGCTTGGGCACTGAGCTTTTTTTTTTTTATTTGTTTGGGTTTATCCCTGACTCCACAATGATGTGTACAAGTCACCATGTGACTGTGATAGCAGTTTCAGAAATTTATGTTACCACTGCTAGATGCATGATTGGTTATTTATATATTTAAATATAGGCAGCTGATAACATTTTTTTCAGTATTTATGTTACTGAGTGTGCTGAGATCTGAAAGCTTTATCAAATGCCACATTTCAGTCTGTTTCTCTGAGTAGTATTTCAGCTATTAAAAATCCCCTAACAAGATGTGGTCTGCATCTCTCAGTAAGAAGAGGAAAATGGATTTGACCTGAGAGCCTTTACCCAGCTCTGAAGTCCCATTTTATTTTACCTCCTTGCTCTGAATGCCATGCTACATCACAACTACACAGTGCAAAGTAAGCAAACTGAAGAGCTGCTTGCTTTTACACCAGAGTGGAAGGCATTATTTCAATTGGTGTCATCCAAAATCTTGGAAGTATATATTATAGGTAGGATGGATATTAGCAACGAAGCTTCTTAAATTGTTACTTTGGCCAAAAGTAGGAATGTGCTTAATCTAAGGAATAATTTAAAATTCAGCTACAGAGGAAAGAACGAGCAGTGCAGCTTCAGGTAACTTCTTGTCTATTTGCCATGGTCAGAATAATAGAAGTCACCTATTTAGGTTTGTAACCTGTGAGGTTTGTGCATCACAGTTACCCAGCTGCAGCCCAGATTCCTGAAATGCAATGTTTTTGAGACGTACTGTAAATGACAGAAAAGCAAGATGTGCTTTTTTCATCTTTCCCTCATTTCACCTTAATCACTTTGATTATGGGTTCTGTGAGGTTTTCCTCTTCCCTTCCCATTTCTCTTTATTGCTGCTTCTTCTGTGCCATAGGGTCTTGCATTGAGCTCTGTGCTGTAGTTGCAAGTAACAAAGCTATAAGGGTAACTTCTGCTCCCTTCCTTCTACTGCAGTCATTGCAGGAGTTCACCTACATGCATTGCAAGTTCATCTGCATGCTTTCTTAGGATATAACATAAGTATATTGAAAAAAATATTTTGAAAATGAATGAGCTGTGAAGCAATCCTGGAGTAAAGGGAATGACTTTGTGGTGGTAGAGGGAATAGGCGTAGTGAGGATAAGAGGGTAGCACAGGTTCTACACATCTGGTTTTTGGAGACGTCAAGTCATGTGAAGTTGTGGCATTAGCTGAAGATCTTTTTTTTTTTTTTTTTTTTGTGAGTGCTTGGCATCTCCTAAGCTGCTTAGGAAACTAGAGAAAGATATGCCAGCTTTTTCTGGTATCACTCCGCTCTCACAGCTGTATTTAGCAGTGCTGGATTTTATTGCATGTGTGTGTAGTGATTCAGAGATATTTAACAGCCTGATCAAATATAAAATATACATGTAGTATGTGTATATATGTATTTAATTAAATACAGGCAACTCCCTCTGCGGATGTTATCCTAGGAGCAGCAAGTGAGAGCCTGCCACATCAGCATTTCTTTTGAAGTATGGCTATTTGAACTGTGGGCATTTATTTTCTTTTGACATTTTTAATAAGCTTTAGGTTTTCAGCATTTGCTTTGCATCCAGTTTACTTTCCTTAGCTTGTATGCAGTGCAGTTTAACTGTGTTAACAGTTCTGTAAGAAATGTAGAGAACTACACTGTCCATTGAGCGTGGGTCAGTCTGATCTGGGACTGTTTTCATTGCTATTCAGTAGTACTTTCCTCATCTGAGAAAAGTAAGTTGGACTGTGGAGGCTGCATAAAGTGCCATACTGAGCATTTTACACAGGTTACAGTATTCTTTATGGCTTTATATTGTGATCCTTGTCAGTAAGAAATGTCACAAAGCCTTTTTCTTGTTTGAAGAGCCATAGGAATTGATATCTGATGTTTAGGACTGCAAGCATTCTGTAAAGTCTTCCTGAGTGAAACAAGACCAAGCCTGTCAACTCTTCTTTTGCAAGCAAAGTATACCTTCTGTTAGCATTGAAATATGCAATAGAGAGCACAAGATACCATTAGAAGATACGGGACAACTCCTTGGAAAATTTTACTGTTAGACTTCAATTTCATTAGTTTAGCATCTCTGTTTATGTAATTTTTACATAGGCTTTCTAGCTGTGAATATATATTGAATTCAAAAGGATGGAGAAAAATCTGAAGTGTTGTGGGAGAGGTGGTTTACTGAACTGCACCTGCATCACAGTCTGGTTGTGCGTTCAATAAGCCATTAGAAAAGAGCATGTAAATTCTGTTTTATAGAGAAGCAGCCGCTGCATGACGTTTGCAGCCCCTGAAATAATGCAGCCATACTCTGAAATATTTAGTGTATGAAACAGGACTGAGACCCCTGTGTAGGAGACGAGTGTTCCAAGACACAGCATAGAGAAACACATCCGCTACGTGCTCGTGAGACGAATATATTTGTCACAGTATTGAAACATGAGGTGTGGTGCCTATCAATGTTCTGTTTGTTTCACAGTGTTGCCTGTCGACGGTGTGTTGTGGTCGGTAATGGAGGAGTACTTCGAAACAAGACGTTAGGGGGGAAAATTGACTCATACGATGTGATAATAAGGTAAATGCTATTTATTTTTCATTTTTTTTTTCTACATGTAGATATTGAATATATATATAGAGAGAGAAATATAGAAATATATATATACTTTCTATATATATATATCTATAGAAATATATACATATATATATATAGAAAGTCAGTAGCGTTAGAGTCCAGCCCTGCCTCTTACCTTCAACACAATGCTCGTCTTCCCCTTTGTGCTGGCACATTCATTGCTTGGAGTGGATTTCTTTTGAGGTCCACCTCAAGGCACTCATCATCCACAATATAATACCAGTGCTTGTATCTTTTCCTCAAACACACTGTCTCATACTGGAAGTATACCAGAGGATGCTGGGTCTGAAGAAGAGGCGTCTGGTTCAGGGAAACAAAGGAAGCCTTAGAGAGGAACAGGCAAGAAGGGAGGAATTCAAATGCCAAACAATCTGAAAAGAGACTGTTGGGCTAATTTCTAACGGAAGCCAAGATAGTAACTAACCAAACAGTCTTTCTGCCAGCAGCTGTCCTGTCAAATGGTGTGTCCTCTTTCAGTAAAACTTCTGAGCTGCCATTTCAGTTTCTGCTTTGCTATTGTCTCAGTCTCATTTTACTTACTTTGCCATCAGTTATACAAGGAAGATCCATTAATTATTTTGACCTTATTTTCAAGTATTTGGATTTAATTCTTCAATTCGAAAGCTCCCCTTAGATGCATCTATTCTTCTTAGAATAGAAATCCATATATGCCAGTGTTACACACTTTAAAGCAGTTATTTCTAAAGCCAAAACTGCTTTGGAATTACATTACCTATTTTTTTTTACCTATTTGTTTACTGTGAATGAACAAAAAAGTGGTGTTTATGTTCTGTATTTAAAACATGTTCTGATTAAAACTTTGAAGTGTTGCCTTGTCTACAGGCCTTGTTTTGTAAACATTTGCTCCCAAGCAGCACACCTCCTATTGTGAGCAGTCAGTCGTATTGGCAGGAATGGGGTGTAGAGAAACTGTGCTTGTGTACTCCAAAGAGTATGCAATGCAGCCACCAAGCAAAATCTACAGGAGTTAAACACAGCCTCTTTGGCACCTCAGAGCAAAAGAGACTTTACCCACCTGCCTCCTGCTTACTAATCTGCTGTATTTCAAAGCAGTGGCAGCTGTGCAGATATTTTTTTGAAGGGAGGAGGGGGGAAAAAGCTATAAACAAAGATGAATGAGTGTCAGGTATACAGTCATAATTGCTGTTGCCATGTAGATAGTGAAGAGTATTAAAACATTCTTGAATTGCCTCTCAAGCCATCTAATATTATGGATGGAGCGGTCAGTAATTCTCCAAGCCAGGTATTCTCCTAGATCATCTTCAGTTGCTGTGCTTGAGACAAAATCAGAAGGTCTTTTGTTTGAGTGACATACGATAAGCAATCGTACAGTTGTACTCTAAACCACCTTGGCTGTGTTCCCGTGTGTTCTTGATCCTGCTGGGTTAGCAGGTGAGTGCAGGAGGCACCTGATAACTGCTCATCTGCCATGTAACGTGATAAGTGAATGCCAGGGCACTAAACCCTTGCACACCTGGACGTGCTGCCTGCCTTGCAGACTTGCGTGTGTGCCAACCGCTGCACAGAAAGGATGTGTGTCTGGAGTAGTCATTGCCATTTCTGTGTCTCTGTTCTTTCCAGAATGAATAATGGCCCTGTTATAGGCTACGAAGAGGATGTTGGGAGAAGGACGACTTTCCGCCTTTCCTACCCGGAATCCATCTTTTCGGATCCAATCCACTACGACCCAAATACTACTGTTGTTATTATCGTCTTCAAGCCACGTGACTTAAAGTGGCTTTGGGAGATATTAGGCGGTCAGAAAATAGTGAGTGTAATTACTTACGCATTTTTGCGCTCAGCTTGCCATGTATCTCTCCTGTGAGATGTACTTGGTTTGCTTTTAACCTTAACCCTCCTGGCTGGGGACCATACTGCATCTGTCAAGTCTGCTCAGTTTCCCTTTCCCTCGTATGCCTCTATCCTTTCTCACTGCCACATTTAATCAGTTCTTCACCCCAAAGCAGTGTTCTTGGAAATTTCTTTTAATTCTCTTCTAGCACTGCTTCATATTCTAACACAAATGCTCCAGCTGTTTCCTATGTTATTTTATCCTGTGCACTTGGTGAAATTGCAGAATAATGTTAACAGGGACCTCTCTTGGAAGTCTTGAGACCAAACCCCTGCTCAAATAGAATGGGACGAAGTTCAAAGTCATACCTGTTTCTGAGGGCTTTGTCCAGAAAAGGTTTGGTTATTTCCAGGGATATTTTGACAATCTCTCTTTCAGTGCTGCACTACTCTCGCAGAAAGGATTTCTCCTGAGCAATGAGCATTCAGGATCTGTCTGGTCCTGTCTTTTTTTTTTTTTTTTTTTTCCCCCTCTTGTAAACCTCTACCACTTATTGGAAGATGAGCTGAAGAAACCCTCCTCATACCCTTCTCGCATTGCATGTTGTGTACTCTGGCCTCCTGTACTGAGCTTGCCCCTGATCGGTGTTCTCTTATGCTGTTACTGTGGGCAGTCTAAAAGGCTGTTTGTGAGACCACAGGCAGGTGCAGTACTTGAGAATGATTGCTTCTCTCTGTTGCTCCCTATGCTCTTGTTAAAGGAGCCAAGTATACAATGAGCATTTATTACCTCCAGGGCATGGTGATGGTGTGTGTTGTTGTCCACCATGGACATTTCTGCAAAGCCAGCCGACCAGCCCAGCCTCTACTGCTGCGGGAGGTGATCCTGTTGCAAGAGTACAATTTTGGTGTATATCTATGAGCTCTTGAAGGTTCACTGTTTTTCTTCTTCCTCAAGCACCTACCTTTAGATTTTGCTTTGGTTAGAATCAGAGTTGCAACAAAAACAAAATCAACTGTTAAAAATAGCAGTAATTAATATGTATTTATTTGTCCGTTGCAGAGTGCTAAAGGCTTTTGGAAGAAACCAGCTCTGAACATGATATACAAATCTAATCAAATCAGGATTCTTGATCCTAGCATCACCAGAAAAACAGCTTATGATTGGCTTCATTTCCCAACAAGATTTCCCAAAAAAGAGGTAAGCTTTCTATGTTTTTGCCTGTAAAAGCGGCATGCATCCAAAAAAGTAATTATTTCTTCATTATAGCACACCATTAGAATATCAATTCAGAATCATATTACATTAGCTTGGGTTTAGGTGATGCTCAGAGACAAAAAGACTAAGTTGAGAAAATAGCTAGTCTTGTATGCTAAATCTCATGGAGTCAGTCACTAGTATTAAATGAGACAACATCGTAGACAGATAATTCCTTTTACAAAATAGGGGAAACCAGGCAGGTATTGGAACATGGTGGATCTGTAGAGACTCTAGAAATATTAAAGAGTTCTGAGTTACAAAATGTAGGGATTGTTTTTCTTATTTAAGAACAGAATGAAACCACCACCAACAAAAAGGCAAGGAGAGCCTGTAATTCTAACGCTGCTGCAGTTTTGTTCTGCTGAGGGTGGGCAGGGAAACAGCCCCACGTTAATGATGCCAAACATTGTAATGGGTAAATTAAGAATTTGGATATAAAAAATACATTTAAATCTTATCTCTTATCATCTGGCTGGAGGATGTTTTGGATGAAAGTTAAGGCTTCAGGCTGGAGAGCTTATTTGTGTAGTCGTGACTGACCATACACTATGTAATGCAGATGCTTGTATGAGTGCTGTTCCCTGGGGTCATGGTCATTTCACAGAGCTGCTTCATCAAGATTACCTGACACGTGTGGGAACTTCTGACAATTTGTTTCTGGAGTAATCTATCTACAAGATGCTTTCCAGGGCTTCTTGGCATTTTAGTTTTTCAGTTGAGGATAAGAAGAGGGCAACCCAGAAGCTGGAGGTCGATCAGTCTCCTCAAGGGCCCAATACATCCATGGCTTTCGTGGCTTCAGAAATTCGTTCTGTTAGTTTACATAAAGCTCCCCTGTCATTGTGAGTAAAAGTAGGATCGGTGCTGTCAGTGAGCCAAGCAGATGTGTGTGATGTTCCAGAGCTAATGCAAAGTGCAGGCTGCTCTGTCGCTTTGAACAAAGGACATGCTTTCTGCTCCTCTCCTGCTCAGAGCTGGAGCAGTCTATGTCCATGGTAGGATGTAGTTCCCCTTTCTGCCTCCTTTGTATCCCCTTGCTCCAGCTTTTGGGGTTTCGGAGCCTCTCATCCCAGGCAGCAGCAATAGCTGAGTTCAAGTCCTCAGTTTTCTCATTTCACAGAGGTGTGTTGTGTAGCATGTCTGTGTGGTACTGCCTTTGCTGTCCTGTGCTTCAGCCCCCTCTGCCTGGAGGGGATACCATAGACAGTTGTTACTTTCCCTGCTGTTGCCGCATTTCCATTAAGCCAAAATTATGTTCCTTGTTTGTGCATTTCTGCCCAGTCCAGCAAGCAATTCTCTATTAGTAACTATGATGGTGTTAACTGAGCCAGGAAAAACAACTGTGAAATCGGACGTGAACAAATGTCGTTGTATGCCAGGATATTTCTAGGGCGTGCTAGGAACACTTAAGTGGCAGCAGTTCTGCTTAGCAGAATCCGCAGAAAATCAGTTTGCTTGATCAAGGCTTCTTCCTTTGCCATGTTCAAGGGTTTCTCTGAGGTTTGGTTGAACAAAAAATCCTGCTTAAAGCATGACAGTGTATTTTAAAAGCAGTTTTGATTTTCGTTAGTGTATTCTTCTGAGCTGTATGCTTATGGTAGCCAGAGGTGAAGAGAGTTAGTTTGCAGCTGGTGATATTCCTGAGATTTCCAACTAGCAGTATTCCTGACATGTAACATTCCTGTAATAATTTTGGGGTACTGATAAGTGCACCACAATGTTATGCTATTGGCCCCTTTTGGAAGGTTGTTCTGTTTGGTAGGACCCGTGGGCAATGATGTGTAATTTAATTTGATGTTATTGTCATAAAAGAAGGCATAACAAGTGTTGCACCCCCCCCCAAAATAACATAAAATGTGATAGTCCAATATTGTGATTTTAATTAGGCTTGCAGAATTGATGTTAGTAATGTGTTTGGTTTTTTTTTTTCCAAGGGTTTTGTTTCTATATCATACAGCAGAAATAAATACTTTTTCTCACAGAATACATCTATTCTTTCTCCACCCAGAATTTCCTACTTCTGGTTTGTGTGCTTTGTTTTTGGAGGCAAATAAACTGAGCCTTGAGTAAAAGTTGAAAACAGGATATGATTTTTTTTTCTTTTTTTTTTTTTTCTTTTTTTTTTTTCTCAGCTGGAGTTTGACTGCAACTACTGGAAGTGTTCACCTCCTCTGGTCTCTGAATTCACAGAATTCAGGATCATTAAGGTTGGAAATGATCTCCAAGATCATCTTGTCCAGCCATCAGCCCATCCCAACCATGCCCACTCACCATGTTCCATGTTCCTCAATGCCACATCTACACGGCTCTTGAACACCTCCAGGGATGCTGATTCCACCACCTCCTTAGACAGCCCGTGCCACTGCCTCTTTTGTTTTAGCTAAACCAGGCATGTCTGCCTGAACATTTTGTCCATTTCTGGGGAATTTCTCCTCTAAAATTCATCAGCTGTGATCTAATGACAGATCACTTCATTGTACAAATCCTGCCTAATCTAATTCCTCTTTATTTTAGCTACTGCTAGAACAACCATGTATGTTATTGCAGAATAAGACAGTTGCAATGAGTTGTTCTCTGGTCTCTTATAAGAAGTGTACATTTTCAGCTAGATACTTCTATTTTTAAGCAGTTGAATCACTTGTTTATCACCTGCTCTTGACGTTTTATGTTGCATTTACTTCTGAGCTATCAACTGTAGGGAAACATGAGCAGTTTTATCTACAGTTTACTTTCCTCTAATGGAAATAGTGTGGGAAGGTCTAAAGCTGTTCCTCAGGAATTTCACTGCTCTGAAAAAGTTGAAATGTAGCCAACTTAATGCAGCAATAACATTCATGTTCTTTAGTTTGGCAGTGTGAAGATTTGAAGTGTATCATGTTTGTCTGGATCTCCAACACCTAGAAATGTATGAAAGCATCTGACAATTCAGTCAAAGTTAATGGAGGAGACATGTTCTGCAATGCGTTGAGGTCAAGCCAATTTCATGAAAGTAGGTTTCTGAGCAGAACGATGGAGAGACTTTGCCGATTCCTCTACTGAGGGAAGGCCACAGTGCGTGCTCAGCCCTTGTTAGAAACCAGAGAAGCCAATGTGATGCTGACTCTGACAAATATACTTGCCATGGAATTGCTGCAGGCAGCACCATACTCCTTTGGAGGCAGGAGGGGGTCCAAATACAAAGCCAAATATCTGCAGAAGAGCTTGGTTCCCTGATACTGACTGCCTTTTTTCTTATCTTTGCTATTCATGTGAAGCTGCTAGTTGTTTATGTATGCATGTTGTTTGTGTTTTGTTTTAGAAACCCAAGCATCCAACAACGGGGCTAATTGCCATTACACTAGCATTTCATATCTGTCATGAAGTTCACCTGGCGGGCTTCAAATATGACTTCACTGACAGGAACAGTTCTTTGCACTACTATGGCAACGAAACGATGTCTCAGATGATGCAGGTAACGCACATTTGTTTATGCTGAGGGGCATGCTTAGGAAATACAGCTGGCAAGTGAAGAAGGCAATGCAGTTAGATAAAAGGAACTACAGGTTAGAAAGGCTTCCCATCTTCTCTGCTGCTCATGTGTTAGGAGACATTGCTTAATGTCTCCTAACCTCTGCTGTTGCTTCTGAAAAATGTGGATAATAATATTTGTGTCCCTCAAGCTACACTTTATTCTGTAGCATATCTGTGTTAATTTGTCCATTTGTGTGTTGTTTTCCTTTAATGATGGCTGCACAGCTCTCGTCTACAAAGGCATATTTGATAGCACCGTTAGAACATGAGTAGGCACTGTTCACATTTCCATTCTTTTTCTTTGGCAGCTACTTGCAAAAGTGATCACAGTGATCACAGATCACAGGAGTTTCTTTAATAAAAAAATTGAAAAATAAAGGAAGGAGTGAAAGACCTATGAGCTTGCAGTTAGGAAGAGAGATGAATTTCAGAAATGAAAAGCAGAAAAGCAGCTCGTAAAAAGGGATAGGAGAAGGAACGACTTCCAGCAGGGAGAAGCCGCAGCTCACCAGAGGAGGAAGCAGCAGGAGGCTGGCAGACATCAGCAAAGCCTCTTGCTCCTGCAGAGAAGGGCTTTGCTACTTATGTCTCTGGTTTTTGTCTCTTCTCATGCCTTCTTCTCTGTACTCCAAGCATTTTCATCTCGACCCTTTACCTCAGTGTGAGCAGTTTTCTCTTACACATGCACACCCAGTGTGGTACACTGGTTCCATGTGGGACCTATTTTATCTCCTCCTCCGTCTTCTGAAGAGGAAGGATGAGGCAACGTCCATAGGACATTAAATCTCTCTGGGGAGTCGTAGGTACCCTCTGCTCAAAACTGTTTTTTCTTTGACACTGAGCTGACCTTTAATTTGAGGTTCCTCTCTGCAGGTGATTTCCAGTAAGCTAACCTGATGTACCAGGTTCTTTGCATTCTCTGCTGTCTGCACTGGAGGCCTTCTGGGTTTCCTTGTGCTGTCCTCAGGTTACTCAGTGATCTCTTATGTACTCAGGATCCTGCATGATGGAGCACTAAAAATGAGTTAGTTTTGGCTTGCTGGAAAGCTGACTGGCAGTACAAGCTGCAAGTGAGCTCTCTGTGAGAACCATGTTTGAGCTTTGAGAGCTACTTGTTTTCTGATTGCTTATGTTGCAAAAGTGGTTAAGCAGCTGTTGCCTCTGAGCGCAGAGATGAGGTGGGAGAGCTGGTAAAGGAAGGATGTTCATGAGACCATTTCCTTATCAGTTTGGTTTGTGTCCTAATAGAAAGTCTAGTCTAGCTTTGAGTTGTGGGGTCACTTATCTGTTTTCTTGGAAGGCTGTAGCACAGCCAATACTAGGAAGTCTTTTCCCCAGCTCTTAGCATCTTCTTTCATGGGAATTTAGGAGGAAGGAGCAATGAGGTGATATTTCTGGTAATACGTTGTATTTAATTTTTTAATGATGATTATTCCCTCACATCTCCTTAGAATGAATACCATGACATCAGCGCTGAGCAGAAATTCTTGAAGAAGCTTATAGACAAGAACTTTGTGGTCAATTTGACGTGAAAGCTGGATGGAAAATATGAAGAATAATCACTATTTTCAAGATTTCAAAATGTTTTATTTTTTGTATGACATTTTTATTTTTTAAGTGCAACATAACTGTTTACTGTTGAAAAACAGCACGGAAACCTCATAAGGCAGAAGCTTCTTCTAAGCCAGAGGATAATGGACTATTCCAAGCTGAGCTAACTGAATTTCTGTGAAGCTATTTAATGGGAAAAACACAAAACTTTCAGCTGAAAGTATCAGGGATGTATAAAAATGTGATTCACATTACTTATTTATCAGCAAGAACTTTTTTCCAAATGGTTACTTCTCTGGAATACCTTCTTTTCTAATGTCCTCCAAAAGGATTACACTGTTAAGAGACTGAGACAACTGTTCAAGTAGTGGGTGGATGTCAATGCTTGAATCTTGTAATACGAAAGTGGCTTTACAAGCGATGCCTTTAAGTCATTACTGTGTGTTTGGGAGAAGGGGAAACATGCACACGTACAGATTTCAATCTGCCCTCCTCCTGAGCAGAGGACATCCATCTTCTGTGAAGAAGCCACAACCTGCACTGGTCATCAACTCTGAACTGCTGTCTGTGTGTGCCAAAGGTGAAGACCCTTTGGTCTGTTTACTGGAGATGCTGGCGTTGACAATGCTCATGTTGTACCAGTTTATGGAAAAAAACATATGACCTGTGCTGTGCTTCCAATAAATTTTACAGTTTTTGACTTCTCTTAGAATAGAGGGAGTTTGAAGATGAAGCTTTGTCTCGACTGCTTGTGTCTCTTGCTTCCCCCAAATGACAACAGGAATGTGAGCTCAGACAGAGATGTTCACACTTGAGTTTAACCTTAGAGGCACAGGTTTTTGGATTTCCAGACTTCAGGATAATCTAGTATGTCTTTCTGTTCTCCTGCAAGAATGACAATATATTTTTCCAACTGTAATCCTCTTTCTCGCATGCTGCAAAGCATTTACAACTCTGACATGCGTAAGTACGAACAATAAATGTTCCTGTCTTCGGCAGCAGAATGTACTGGACACTGTAAGACTGCATCAGCTGAATTACTGTTTGGCTACCGTTTACATCTCTCGAGGTTTAAATGATGTGGCTGAGCTAAATCAGTGGGCATTTGCATGGGAATTTAATGGAAACATTTATTGGGAAGATTGTGTTTCCTGTATTGATTTGTTTCAGTCACCCTACCAAATAAGTTATATTTGCCTGGGAATGTACTTGACAACTTTTAAAATGAAAGAACAAGTAGAATTCCATTCTAAATCTTTCACAGGATCTATTTATATATCTTTTTATAGAGTCAGGCTTTTTTGGGAAGATCTTTATATTTATCTACTGATCATACCTGAAGAAAACACTAAAATCTGTTTCAAAAAAGTCTTCGAAGTGGATAGAAAAAATTTGTTGCTTTTTAATAAAAAGACACAAAGATGTAGTACATCTGGAACCAGTGCAAGCAATTACAATATGATCTCAAGCCTCTAGCAGGTCATGAGCACAGTGTTGTCTTTTTCAGGAGCTGAGCATTACAAGAGTACTGATCCCAGTTCCTTTGCTGCAGCAGTGTAGAGGAGTAAGCACTGGAGTGACCAAAGAGCCATCATATCTTTTTCTTATTTCTCTTGCAGAGTGCAATTGGTGATTAAAAAAAATCCTGATAGCTTCTTTAGCTCCTTGGCTCTGCCACTTGGCAGCTGCTGAGTGCAGTGTGACTTTGGAGGCAAGCCACTGCCAAAGAAAAGGTGGCTTGTGCTGTTGTACGCTGTTTTTACCTAGTGACTCCTGGCTTCTGTTCAATTTCAAGCAAATGGGACATATTTAAAATAACTGCAGATGTCATAAAAATGTGCATCCCAGTGTGGCACAAGGAGGTGGTAGTTCAGCCATGATGGTGCTTCTGCATGGAGGGGCCCCTCAAACAGCTGTGTGCAGGTGGCAGCAGGGGCAGAAGGAGCATGCTGGAGGATCAGGTCACGTACCTGTGCTGCAGGAGTGGAGGAAACCAGAAGTAATTGAAGGGAGTGTATAAGCAGGAGGGGGAATGGCTGTTTACAAGGGTGGATAGTGATAGGAAATGGGGGGAATGGTCTTAAACTGAGACAGGAAAGTTTAGGTTGGATATCGGGAGGAAGTTTTTCACTCAGAGGGTGGTGAGGCACTGAACAGGTTGCCCAAGGAGGCTGTGGATGCCCCATCCCTGGAGGCATTCAAGGCCAGGCTGGATGTGGCTCTGGGCAGCCTGGGCTGGTGGATGGCAACCCTGCACATAGCAGGGGGGGTGAAACCAGATGATCATTGTGGTCCTTTTCAACCCAGGCCATTCTGTGATTCTGTGATAAAGTAGCAGAAGTGGTCTTACTTAAAAATCTGAACAGAAAAAGGTGGAGTTCTGCACCAGAAAACAGTGACGCTACCTTTAGCTCTGTCAGCATCTATGCCTCATGTTTACCTCAGTCACTTAGAAAGTGTTCATGACTATGCAGCACCAGCCCTGCACTGATTCAGACTACTGACGGCAAATCCACAAGAAAACAAAAGGGCAAGGAAAGGTGTTTCGTGCAGCTGGCAGTGCTGAGCTTTCTTTGCACAGAAGTCCTTGTAGGAGTCTCACTATGCTGAGGACAGACAAAATAACTGGTAAAAAGGACTTCGTGGCAAACAGATGGTGTCCCCAAATTCCTTTTTTACTTACAGTAGTCTCCTTTATTCTCATTTTTAATCACATCACTGTTATGGTCTCAGCTTCTTTTCTGACATTGGATATTGTAAATGTGCTCAAAATGCTGCCTGCAGGCATTTATCCCTATCAGCTGCTGTTTTTTTATTTCTCCTCCGTGAGTCTTCCCTTGTTCATGACTTTCTCCTTCCGATAATTAGGCAGTACTCCTGTGCATGCTTTCTGCCCACATCTCTCTCTCCTGCAGGAACACTGATTCCGTATGGGCTGAGGCTGCTGTCGTGGCAGGCGGACTCTGCCATATTCAGAGCCAGACCTGTTTGCTTGGGCATGAAGCAAGATTTGATAGTATTGATAAACAGTAGGCACTGGTTTTTTTGAAAAAGGACAGCTGGCAGTCCAGCAGCTTTTATCTTCAGCAATTAGCAGTGTGTTAATTGGTTTTAATTGGTTTTCTCCCTTAAATGTTTTAGAAGGGTTCTGTGTATACTGGCCCTGCTTTGTCAGTGTCATGCCACCTCACATGGCCACTTCTGCTGTTCTGCCTTGAGAACAGACTTCTGTGTGGACTTCTTGAGGGCAGGAATTAATGTATTTACTTGGTCAATAATGTCTGCAGATTGTGGTGCCTATTATATCTGGGTCACGTTTTCAATGGTAGCATGTAATATCAAAGGTTGGCCTTAGGGCTTTAAAATTTTATTATATAATAACAGAAGGGCTACAATGCATACCTCAAATACTTCTTATTTTTTGCCTTTCCAAAGGCAAGGTTTCTGCACTGAAATTTTCCTTTGAAAGCTGCCCATTACTTTGATTACATCATCAGTGGAGAAGCTGTCAAATTGTGAATCCCAAGGTGCTCAACCCCTATTTTTGTGTCTGTAGTAGCGTGTCTCCACAGGTATGAGTACCCCGTGAAGTTTCTTTCTGAATCTATTGCAAAGTCAGATGGTTTCACCACTGCTTCTTCTCTTCCTCTTCCCCAGCAGTGGACTGAAGCTCACACCAGCAGCATCTTGCAGCAGAGATGCTCCTGTGTTTTATCTGCTAGCCCTACAAAATGCTGCACCGTTATAAAGACCTCACTCTGAAGTACCGAAGTACACACAAGTAGCAAGCTGGATAACATCCATCAGCCCAAGTTCTGTTTGGCCCAGACCCTTAGGGAGCCTGTTTGTTTTTGCCAGTATCTTTACTGTAATAATTAAAGGAAATACTGAGTTACTAGATAAGGAAGGTCACAAATTACTGCACTGAATATGAACTGGACAGTGCCTAACAGATTCAGCTAAATCATATTTTTTACGGCTGCTTGTTGAGAACAACACAGAATCACAGCTTTTGTGTTTATTGATCAGTGAGTGTATGGTACCTCTTGTTTCCTGTGCCAGGATTCTTTTTTAGCAGTGCAGGTAATAAAGTACTGTCACTTTTAAGCGGAGCCTGATCTTAAGACCATGCAAAGCTCAACGTCTGTTTCTGATATAGATTAGTACTTCATTATTTTATTTGCAATTTGTCTCAAGTTTATGTGCCTTTAAAGTGTCAACTGTGTTTTGAAGGCTTTCTTATGGATGTTTCAAGTGAAATTTTGAATGCTACGGATGGAAAGCAATTATTTATCTGTGAATAAATGGTGTTAAGATGTTACTTTCAAGTTGTTTTTTTTTTTTTTTTTTTTTTTTTGGCAAGGTCTATGCTGTTTATGCCCAATCCCATTATTAGCTCTGTGTAAAGCAAATACAGCCTTCTCAGATGTGGTATCATGTTTCAGAACAAACCTTTGTGGTTAGAAGGGCAAACAGAGCTTAAAATGCTTGAGCCTTGGTTACACCAAGCTGTGCTGCAGGTAGAAATATTGCTCTGGGCTGATTAACAGCAAAACTGGACATGGTATTAGTGGGTAAGATCAAGACAAACATCCTCTTGAAACTGCTTCATGGCTTTCTGATCTTATCTTACTTGGTTCTTTCAGGAGAATGCTAAAATGAAAGACAGTTAACTAAGAAGATGGTGTCTGATGAAAGACACGGGGTACTAGGAAGGGATTGGAAGGGATTGGGTACTGATTGCAATGTTCCACTCCTTTTTTTTTCCCTCCCCTGCTATGCCAGCATCTTCAGGGCGGTTCAAAAAGCAGTTTCCTGCCACAAGTGGTGGGTATTTAGCGTATTCATGTTGGTAGTGCCCTTTAAGGATGGAGGAAATGCTCGTCGTTGAAGCGAGGTTGAGACGGCACACCCTGGGCTGTAACTTACTCTCTGTAGTGGAACTGCAGTTTATCACTGAACTAGGTCAGTGAGAAATTAGTTGCCACTTTCGCACCAGCTTGTTGCCATGGGTGAGCAACAGGATGAGGGGACGCGGATGGAGTGTGAAAAGTTGTTTCCACACCGTAGGAATGTAGCACACGTCTCTTAGCCTGGCATCCCACAGCCAACGTTGACTTTTTGGCTGAGTACAGCACCTACCAGCCCATCCCACATATATCCAATCTCTCAGCTCCCCTCCTTTCTTACCCCTGTGCCTTTTTCAGTGGCAGACCTTCACGGTGCTGTCCCACTCTAACCTTGCTGTGAGCTGAGCCAGCCATGCCACCACAGGGGAGCTGGAGGAAATCAGTCCTTGTGGCCTGGTACATGAAGTTGATGGGTTGAACGTTCCTTCTAACGACTTTGTTTAATGAAGAGAGGATCCATTTTTCTTTTTCTTTCTTTTTTTTTTTTTTAAAGATATTTAATAAGATATTTTTTTTTTCAAATCAGTACAAAAATTTTAAATACAAAATTATTTGCTTTTGACATATCTCATATATTCTGGAAACATACCAAAGTCACCAGTGGCTGGTAAGCTGTCCGTCTGTTCCTGCCAACGTTCCATAAAATTTCTGAGATAAAGCACCACATTATATCACTGGAGTCCTTAGTCAATGTCAGACTGCATTAAACTCTGTATTTAAATAACAGTAATGCCAGTTAAATCCAATTTTAGTTCTGCATGAAAAATCTAGTTCATTTTTGAATCAAAAGCAGTAGCGTTAGCTAAGACATGGAAGAAGTGAGGAGCAACTCTTTCAACTAACGTGTGTGATGTGCAGCACTGTACAGGGAAACACAGAGAAGGACACTGTCGTTTTTTAAATTACTACACTTGAGGTGAGATTAGCACCATTGATGAACAGACAGTTCTTGCATAAAAGTCGCTTTTCCCAGATACAGAAAAGATTTGAGGCCTGCAGATTCTCCTAGACAATTGGTAACATATAAATAGGGATTGGAAATCAGCCGTTAGATAAAACGAAATTCACGGATGGATTTGTGTGATCAGCATTGCGGGTAAGGTTACTGGTTGATCTCAGGCGATGAGTGAGTTAGTTAGCAAACAGAGCTACTTCTGCTTTGCCTAGTCATGGAAGAGTAAACTGATTCCATTTTGGCTGAGAGGCAGAATATGTGTGTCCTTTTGCAAACTGGACAGACTGCAGGTTTTTAGCACGAATATGGGAATCCATGCTAATTTATACCACCCTGCTGCATTGCCATGTGTCGGCTGAGATGTCTTAATCACGTGGCATAATGCAAACAGTGAAGTCCTTACATTTGCTCTGATCTACCGCATCTGCTTCAACAGTGCGAGTACAGATGGAGGCTTTTTGAAGGTGTTGTGGTGTTTGGGGGTGAACCCAGTGCCTGCTGGAGTAAAGCGGTGTGCTGAATCCAGAGACCTCTGGAGAAAGCTCTCAGGGAACGGTTCTGCTGTCAGTATTCCTTTTCCATAATAAACAAATTGCTTAGGAAGAACAAAAACGAACCTGTAGGTATATCTTACATAAAGGGAAGAGAAGGAAAGCTCTCCAGTAAGAGAACCTCCGCTTGTCAGGCAGCCCTGCTGTTGAAAAAACCCCACCACCACCAAAATCCCCCCAAACAAATAAAAAGCCACTCATTTTTTTCCATGTAATTGGAGACTGACCTTCAGTCACTGTTTTTCATCTCATAACTGTGATCAATGCATCAGTCAAATACACAGCAGGAGTGAGTGACAAAAACTGATTTGAACCTTAATACTGCATTATTGTGATGAAATGAAGCACGGCATCACAGAAATATATAATGTACAGCTAATATGTCCCCCTTGGGTACGAAACAACTGTTTATGAACCTGATACACGCCTTTAAATATGTTCACCACGCTTTTTTTTTTTTTTTTTTATATCTAGCTGTGCATGTTAAACTTTGTATTTTCTTTTTAACAGAATGGTCCAAAACGGTCATTAAATGCATCTTTTGTGGTATAAGAGTTCGAAGCAGAGAAGAAAGGTTTAGATTTGTGAATGTGAGTGTGTGTGTGTGTGTGTGTGTGTATGTGTATGTCTGGTTTTTGTTTTACATGGGATACAATAAATATCCTGAAAAAGATGAGTGAACGTATTGCCCAGCATAGAGTCCTGCTGCCTGCTCGGATGGCATCTGAACATAAACCTTGTCTCCATGCATCAGCTGAACAACAGCACTCCCAGAGGCTTGGTCCAGGAAGCCCTTCTTGTACTCATCGTAGGTGTACATCAGTGGCTCGTTGTTCTTGAACAGAGCTACCCAGACGCTAGCACCTTTACAGTGAACATGGTAGGCAAAGTAGTAGATCCCGGGGATCTCACAGGTAAAGATCCCTGTTGCAGGGTTGTAGTTTTGACGGCCGTTGTAGAGGAGCTTGTCAAACTTCACGGGCACACCGACCCGAGGGAAGGGAGTGAGGAGCTCTGCTGTGAACGCAGGCATCTCGTAGACAGCGCCGCCGGCCTTGCCCTTCTTGCCTGCATAGCCGTAAGGGGGCTTGAGGCCATCTATCCCTGGCCCTACCTCGGGCAGGTACTGTCCCGCAGCCGGTGGAGTCGGGGGGATGATTACTGGGGGTCCAGGTGGCCCAGGGGGACCGGGAGGCCCCTGGAGACCCGGCTGGCCAGGGGGACCAAGTGCCCCAGGCTTCCCTGGAGGGCCTTGCAGCCCTGCAGCTCCAGGTTTTCCCACGCCAGGAAAGCCAGGAGGACCGGGTTGGCCAGGCTCCCCCTTGGCCCCTGGCAGCCCTGGGGGGCCGATAGGGCCACTGGGCCCTGCGATGCCTGGGATGCCTGAGGGGCCCTGAAGGCCTTGGGCACCAGGCAGCCCCGGCTCACCCTTCGGCCCCACCAGCCCCGGGACACCTGGTAGCCCCGGCAAGCCCTTGTGCCCTGCTTCTCCCTTGGGCCCAGTGGGGCCTGGCAGCCCCCTCAGCCCTGGAGCTCCCACTTCCCCAGGAAAGCCTGGCTTCCCTGGGAACCCCTGCAGGCCTGGTTCGCCTTTGGGGCCCACCGGTCCTGGTGGCCCCACAGCGCCGCCTTCTCCTTTGGGTCCTGGGAAACCAACAGCACCTGGGGGGCCCATGATGCCTGGCAGGCCTGGTTGGCCAGGCTCCCCTGGTGGCCCCCCCATGCCCGGCGGCCCTGCATGGCCTTTCTCCCCCTTGGGCCCCAGAGGACCAGGCAGGCCACCTACCCCACGCTCACCTTTGGGGCCTGGAAAGCCTGGCTTACCAACCCCAGGGAGACCTGGAGGGCCTGGCAAGCCTGGCAAGCCTTGCTCCCCTTTGCCACCTGGGAAACCTGGCTGACCAGGGATGCCATCTTGGCCGGGTTTGCCAACACCAGGCAGGCCAGGAGGTCCTTGCATCCCAGGGACACCCGGAGGCCCCTGCAGCCCCAGCTCACCTGGGGGACCAGGCTTGCCCACAGGGCCCTGAGGGCCAGGGAACCCCACCATACCTGGCTTCCCCACCCCTGGCAGACCCACAGGGCCGGGGGGACCAGGCAGCCCAGGTGGGCCCTTCAGCCCTGGCAAACCCGGGATCCCAACACCCTTCTCCCCTTTTGGACCAGGGATCCCAGGGACCCCTGGGGGACCTTTCATCCCAGGTTCACCCTTTGGTCCTGGCTGTCCCTGCAGCCCCGGAGCACCCGCTTTCCCTATTCCTGGGAGTCCATGAGGTCCCGGTGGTCCCTGTGGCCCCGGTATTCCCATGGGCCCAACCTCTCCTTTCGGCCCCATCTCCCCTCTTGGTCCAGGTGGTCCCATCACCCCTGGCTTCCCAGGCATCCCTGGCAAACCCGGCTTCCCAATTCCTGGATATCCTTGCGGACCCGGTTTTCCTTTGGCTCCTGGCACTCCATGACCTGGTAATCCTGGTGGCCCTGGTGGTCCTCTTGGTCCAGGCTCACCAGGGGGGCCTTGCTCACCCCTTAAGCTGCGCATGGGTATTTCTGTGTAGGAGAAGAAAGAAAAAGGAAAAGGAAAAGGTAGGAGTGTGAATTGTATGAATCGAATGACGGTTGTACGATGTACAATTCACAACTCTTGAAAAACACAAAGGCAATTTTGAACTGAGCGTGCTTCATATGGTACCTCTTGGTTTTGTGGTAGCTGGAAGAGTCCAAAAAATTACTGGCTGATGTTTGCAATTAAGAAGATGTTCTTGCTGTTTTGCTTACTTCCAACTTGTGTTTCTGTTTATATGAAAGAATTGTTTTGCATCCTCTCTGTTTGCTTTTTTTTTCTTTTCACATAAGAGCCATTTAATAGCATTTTCCATGTGTACAATATTAAGCAGAGAAATCTGACTTTTCTCCTTTATTACTGTAGACTAACTTGTGAGTAACTAACTTTCAGAAGGACACAGAAGCTGTGTGGTGTGATTGTGTAGTAGGAGTAGTTTTGGCATCAGAGTACTGTTGCAGGGAGGGCTTACATTAGCAAGATTAATACAATAAAGTTGTATCAGTAAGAAATTTATGTGTTGGTATGACTGCCAACACCAAGGCTTTAGCTTCCTTTAAGATATTGCTGGAAACCTGCAGCCTCACTCAGCGTTGCTAAGCTCTCAAAAGTTTTTGGCATAGATACGGCTAATTAGAGCTCCCTCGAAACACTTCATAAAATGTTTTCTATTATCCCAAACCACGTTTTTATTTGTGTATGTGATCATGCAGCATTTCAGGTGAAGGTGGTGCCACATGGGAACAGTTGTGCTGGGATCTGGTTGCTTTTTTGTTCTGTAACGTGAGAAGAATAATGTGAGAATATAAAGTGAGAGTTTGAGGTTCAATGAAAGAAGAAGTTTCGGGGCAAGAGATCTAACTGTTCTTTAGGAGGGGAAAACCCTCTCTCTGCATGTTTTGCGTTTTATGCGCACAGAAAATGTCCTTTGCTCACAAGACGGTTTGGTTTTACCGCAGAGAGTTATTCTTGTTCAGATACTCCAGAAATAGACCCTGAAATCCTCCCTCTGCCACTGAAGCCAGTGGAGACTGTGGTTACTCTGAACTTTTAAAACACAAAGCATTAACCAGCTGAGGTCGCACAGACACATGCTGTCTCCAAAAGGGTTGTGTGGGCATTGCTAGTTTGGATGTTTTTTGTTGCTTTCGTAAGTATCCTCATATTTTCCAAACTTTCTTTACTGAATACTGAAAACACTTGTAGGTGCAGGACTGTGTAGTAAGTCCTGTGTGTTCAGCACTTCAGTCCCATAGATAATCAACAGAAAGATGACTTAGAGAATCAAAAAAGCAAATGTATGCCACATCCAGCTGACAGCAGCCCACTCACCCAGGGGCAAACACTGATGTGCGGAGTGTGACAGGGCCAGGCTGATGAGGGACCTGCCTACCTTTTTCTTTCTTGGCACCCATGTCTTTGCCAAGCATTGGCACCTGGGGAACCTCCTTCATGTACTGAGGCAGGTGGGGGTACTCCTTGCCATACTGCATGTGGGGCACCTCCTTGCCCATGTGCTGCATTGGGATGCCTTCCTTGCCCAGCGGCATGTGAGGTACTTGTTGTCCGAGGGCTTGGTACTGGGGCACCTGGGGCGGCAGCTGCTTGATTCCATAGTAGACACCACCATGAGTGGACTTTACCAGCTGCAGGGAAATAGCAAGAGCCACTGCCAACAGCTGTGTGGGAATGAGCAGCACGGCCATCACCTGTGGGAAAACAGAAAAAATCAGTTGGCAGAGATTGTTTTCAGCTGTTATGAAGGCTTTGGACCATGTACTGACATCTTGCTTAATTCTCACATTTTGCTCCTGCTCTGAGTTCTCTGTTAATTTGCATTTGGAGAAGAGCCTGCTCTTTTTGTAGAACATTATCCTTCACTTCCTCTGAAATCTAATCTTTCAGTGGTGATTAATATGTCATTATTACTGAGGAGGGGTAATTTAAAACTGTGTAGGAAACAAGGATGTAATCATCAGTTGGATGTATGACAGGAGAGAAATGGATGTTGTGTATCTTGACTTTAGCAAGGTCTGGCACCGTCTCCTGCAACATCTTTGTAATGAGACTTAGAAAATGCGGGATAGATGAGTGGACAGTGAGGTGAATTGAGAAGTGTCTGACTGGCAGTGCTCACAGGGCTGTCAGTGGCGCATAGTCTGGTTGGAGGCCTATAACTAGCAGTGTTTCCCAGGGGTCAGCGTTGAGTCTGGTATTGTTCAACATCTTCATAAGCAATCTGAATGAACGGATGAAGTCTGACAAGTTTGCTGTTTATATAAAGCTTGGAGGAGCGGCTGACACACCAGAAGGCTGTGCTGCCATTCAACAAGACCTGGACGCGCTGGAGAGTTGGGCAGAGAGGAACCTAATGAGATTCAACAAGACAAGTGTAGTCTTGCACCTGTGGAGGAATAACTGCATGCATCTGTACAAGTTAGGGGCTGATGGGCTGAAGAGAAGCTTTGCCAAGAAGGACCTGGAGGTCCTGGCTGACAACAGGTTGGTCATGAGCCAGCAGTGTGACCTTGTAGTCAAGAAGGCCAATGGTATCCTGAGATGCATTACATGAGTGTGGCCACCAGGTTGAAGGAGGTGATCCTCCCCCTCTGTTCTGCCCTGGTAAGGCCACATCCTGGAGTACTGTGTCCAGTTCTGGGCTCCTTGTTTTAAGAAAGACAGGAATCTCATAGAAAGAGTTCAGTGGAGGGTAACAGAGATGATGAGGGACCTGGAGCATCTCACTTATGAGGAAACACTGAGAGACCTGGGACTCTTCTGTCTGGAGAAGGTGGAGAGGGTATCTCAGCACTGTAAGTGCAGGAGTCAAATGGATGAGGCCAGGCTTTTTTCATTGGTGCCCAGTGGCAGGACAAGGAGCAACAGTGCAACTGGAACTCGGGAAGTTCCATACAAACACTGGGAAGGACTTCTGTACTGTGAAGGTGACAGAGCATTGGCACAGGCTGCCAGAGAGATGGCGGAGTCTCTTCTGGAGATATTCTAGCCCTGTCTGGACACTTTGCTGTGCATCCTGCACAGGTACAGCCTGTAGGATGCACAGGATGTAGGCAACCTGCTTTAGCAACGGGATTGGACTCAGTAACCTCTAGAAGACCCTTCCAACTCCTATGACTGTGAGTTGTGATTCTGCCATTTCCCTATTTCTGCTCTTCAGGAGGCTTTTCTTTCTGTCGATGTTGACACTGCTGTCATTAAAACAACCAGCAGAACGTTAATATTTTCAGTAACGATCCTGAACAGGCAAAGCAAGCCACGGAAGTCAGAATGGAGGGCAAACAAGCCGAAGAAGAAGCGAAGTACAGGCGAACTAACGCTAGGTGGAGCGGGCGTCTCGCGGCTGCCCTCCGCGCTCTCTTCCCGCGCAGCAACGGTCGCGTGGCGAGGAAAGGGGAGCGCGGAGGCTTTGGGGTTGTGGTGCAGCTCAGTCCCAGGCGCCGTGCCGGCAGCTGAATGCTTTGGCCATGGGGCTTAGGCCGCGTGCAAGCCGAGCATGCACCGGGGAAGCGGCTGCGGCTCGTCTGGTAGCTTGAGCTGCACCCGTGGCCCAGAGAGACGTTCTTGGGGTAACGCCGGCTCAGAGTGCAGGGAGCACTCCGTGTTGCTGGAGAGCTGTGTCGAGGTCTGCTCTACTCGTGTGATGGGAAAATCGCCATGCGAGCTTTTGAAGAAAAGCAGTACAAGGTGCGGGATAATTTGAGACTGTTGTTGAAACCTGCAAGTATGAAGGGCAGGGCGGACTTGGAAGAAGGAGGTTATTAAATTAGTGTTTTGGCTACTTTGCTGCTCTGGTGGCCAATTTTTTTTATTTCTTTCAAAAAAAAAAAAAAAAAAAAAAAAAAGATGGTGGAATCAGTGGAGAGGGAAATAGGTAAAATTCCTTTGGACTTAATTTTTCTTTTTGTTCTTATTGCAAGATGTGGTTTTGGTGTGCAAGCGGGAGCCATTTGAAATAACTGAAGTAAATTCTTATGGGGAGGCACCAGTCCACAGTGTAGAGGGAACTGAACCTCTCTGCTTGCCATACCTGGCCACACCAGACCTCTCGCAGTGCACCTGCAGGCATGACTATGCACACACGAGGTGCTTTTATGTGCCCGCGTGCGTGGAAATTCTGAGGGCAATCCAGACAGAGCTTTGAGGGATAGGAAGGCTCCAGAAATGAGGTGACCTCATTACATCTGTGTTTCCTTTCAAGTTTTTTTGACTCATCGTAACCAAAACAGCGTGGCTTGGAAATGACAGATTGTTTCTTATCTATTGACTTTGGCTGGGGCCAGTGGCTGTGGAGTGGAAAGTATGGGGTGTATTTACTGAGTGACCTTGGGCCCAATGGGCCTTGGCTGACATTGCTGTGGGAGGAGGTCAGTGTCTCCTGGGCAGCCTCACGCATGCTGTTGGGGTCTTGGATCCACTGCAGGAACCTGGGAAGGGGCAGTGCTGGTTGATGGCCATGCAGCTCCCACAGGAGAAAGGGTCAGGCAAAATTAGCCTCGATGAGCATGATGAAGCCACGTGTTTGACTGCTACTGCAAAATGCCTCTCAGCTGCTAGGAAGCTATTAGAGTCTTTAAGTACCTAGAAGCTGCTGAAGACCTTGTCTTGGTTTTTAGGTAAGTGTGTAGATCCTAACTGTTGGTTAGGTCCATTGGAGCTTATGAATAGCAAAAGGAGATTTTGACAGCAGCAGCACAGTTTAAGGACAATATCAGAGACAGGAAGAGAAAAATGCATGCTGAAGATGCAGCCAAAGTGTAGGGTTCTCCACACCCTTCACCCATATCTCAGCAATTTTGGGATGACCTCCAAACACAGTATGATCCAATGTGCTTTCAAAATTATCTGTCAGCAGAGTGATAAGCTGACTTTGGAAAGGGATTTTCCTGGGCTAGTAGAATGTGTCTACATGTTTATGGCAAGTGAATCCGTGTGTGCATGTGCATTTAGAGAAGCCAAAGACTTGAAGTAAGCAAAAATTTGCCTAAACTGTTTGAATGTCTGAAGAAAGAGGGAGAAAAAGCTGCTGCGTCCCATGCACAGCCAAGCATATGTCTGCCTCTCTAACAGATGCAGTCAGGTACATCATTTTGCTCCTGTCATTCAGATTGTAAATATTTTGCTTTACCTAGGGTGGGGGCAAGCAACTGGAAGGCAAAGGAAAATTATCCCAAGCCACAATGTTTAACTACTTGTGTGTGAATGCATGTGGATCAATCTGTGGGTGAGGGAGTCCATGGAAAAAAAAATGCATTTTTATGGGCAAAGCTCAAGTGAGAACATTTCTCAATAATCTCTTTGGTAGAGCTTTTCTCCTGAGAAAGCTGGGGACCTCCCTTAGGCTGTTTGTGTTTGTCAGCAGAAACCGAAGACAAAACAAAATGTACCAGCACTCATAATTCTTATATTAGTGTGAAGAAATAATGGCTGTTTAGCCTAATTGGGTGAAGAATGTATGGAAAGAGTGATGCCCGTCTAGACTTGAAATCATAGGTGGTCTTGCAAAGAGTGGAAATCAGACCTTGATTAGACATTTGTTACAGGCAAATGACTGCTTTGCAATCAATTTTTGGGTTACATATAATTTACCAGTGTCTCATGATTTGTAGGACATTTGCCCAAAGGCTAGTTCTACTGGTTTAAATTGCCAAGATATTGCTTTTGAGCTGCTGGGTTTCTCAAAACTGCACGAGACATGAGGAGTGTATCACAGTGACCTGAACTCTTCTGCCCTCGGGTCCTTTCCGTGGGGGAGCTGCGGGGACCTGCTCCCCACTGCACCAAGGGCATGGGCTGGCCAGTGCTCAGATTGCCATGTGGACATGACTGCTGGAAAACTCACAAAGGAGGCGTCCTGATGTCTCTGCGTGGTTTGCACCCAGAGGAGAGCTATTAAAAATATTTGTTGCCAAAAAGCTACATTCTCCACAGTGTTTTTGGCTTGAGATCAAGAACGGTTAGGAACTTGTAGCTACTTTAGGATTATCCTTGATAACTTATCACATTACAAAATATTTACAGTGGTGTACTCAGGGATGGCTCCTGTCTTGGGAACTGAGAGTTCCAGTCCCACCTGGGGCCTCCTGAACCTCACTCAAGTCTCTCCCTGTCTACAGAGGAACTCAGGGACAGCAGAAAGCCACAGAAGCAGCCATTAACATGCTTCAGAGTGAGGAGTAGCACAGCTGTGTGGCAGGGTGCTGGCAGGTTCAGAGGCATGGCAGCCCTCCCCAAGGATCCCCCTGGCTCCCAGCTCAGAGACAGAGGTAAGTGGCAGCTGGTGCTGAGCCAAAAAGAGGCTCACTACAGGTGGTAGCCATTTGCTTTCTGTTTTCATTTCTGGTGTTACATTAGCAACAAAAAAACCTATACTGCTACCATGTTGTGTGACTTTGTTCCTTAAACCTCTGGGTTACACCTGTGAGCACGTGGATACCTCCACCTAGCTAGCTTTCTTCTGAGAAATGCATCACAAAATGACAAGGGCAGCCATCAGAGCTTTAGATAGGGTGATTGCTCAGTACCAGGGAGTGGCTGGGGTGACTGCCACTGGGAAATGCCTTTATTTATGAAGAGTCAAGTAAATGGGGTCCTCATTCTTGGAAGCATCATGGCAACCCATAAGTGATTTGAGCAGTGTCCTTCCTAGCACATTGATGTCTGCAGTTTTCAGACTTGATTTCAAAACCTA